AGTTTTTTTACTCTGTCGGAAAACCGTGTTTCCCGAGATGCGCACTTCTGCACTTTCACCATTAGGCAAAATCATTGAAATCCTCGCATCACTCGTTGAAATTTAATGTAGACATTTGGTATAACAAATTTTTAATACTTAATTGAATAGAAGGTTTGTTTTATAAGTGCCAGAGTTCGCTCTTGGTCTATTAAGTTTCACCAACCTTTTGACCTATTAAACACCAATTTACGCGGAATGTTTCGAGGAGCGTCCAGAATGTCTGCGTATTTCTTCCCCCATAAAAATGAAGCGACGAGTTTCCGCGTTGATTCGAATGTTTCCAGTCATGGCTGTTTTTATGAAAAACTTTCCTCGAAGGGCGTAAAAGTATAGAAGTCAGAGCGAGGGAGATGTGGGAAACAAAGGGGCTATTTCATCGCTGCCAAACCAATGAAAGAAAATGTAATTTTTTCAACTACACGATTTCAATGTTGACGAAAGTATAGGATACTAATTTAAGCACATGCAAGAAAAGGGTTCAAAGGCAGTTTTGTACTTAGCATTGGTATTCGAGACGTCCTATAAATATTAATTCGGTGCGGAAAACTCTCGATCGAACTTTTCTCTAGAAATCACGAATCTTTGTAATTTTCTTCACCCCACATGACAAGGAAGGGCTCGTATCTCGCTTACTGCTTACGCCTCCATCCTAACTGCAATGAAGCTCTCTGCAGCTGTTACCAGCGGTGTTTTCCGTACCCCTCTTATTCTCGCTGTTATGAGTTGGATCCCTACTCTGAAGCGCTTCATATACGAACGAAAAATGTGCTACCAACTTGAGGCTTGGACTGTTACTCTTCGGAGATTCTTTTCTATATTCTGCGCGGGAAACTTCGGTATTTCATCTATTTGGACAGGGGATGAAAAACACGAGAGAAGTCGTTGAAACAGAAGGAGAGCTTCTCAAAGAGGGCATTCGTCAATAAAGCGATCTGCCATTTCGAGGATTTTGCATTGTTAAGAATTATGACTTAAAAATGGATTCTTTGAATTGCATTGAAGCTGCACGCAGAAAAAATTAAATTGCTGATTTAACAATTCAGGTCCTAAAAAAGTGACTGCAATGTTTCAATGTAGATTTTACAACAAAAAAATGCTACTTTAACCACCCCCGTGGATAAATTAGCTTACAATAGTGGTTAAAGTAGCATTTTTGAAATGTAAAATCTTCATTGAAACATTACATGCAGTCATTTTTTTAGCAATTGAAGTGTTACCTAAATCAGCAATTTAATATTTTCCGTGTGGAATGGACGATCTTCGTCGAAAATTTCAGGATTCGACGATGGCAATTTCTCATGGGAAAATAAGACCTTTAATCCATAAATTCAAAAGCAAAATGTTTCGGAATCACCGCCCACACGTCGGAAGAAAAGTCTTCGCTCTAGGCTTACAATGCTCATTGTAGATTCCAGGTCCTGTCTACTTTTCCAGTCTTAGTTACAATATTAGATTTGTTGTAATAATATCTCGATAATGGTAATAATGCCGTGCCGTTCATCATTATGACTGGGACCAGAGTAATTGTCATAATTTAGAAGTATCATTGTAACCATAACTAAAAAATGAGGTAGAACCTCGAATCCATTATGATTGTAAGCACAACGATTCTTTTTTCTCTGGGTATGGAAGTATTTCAGGAGCATTTTGGTATACGAGGAGCGAAAAAGTTCAGTCCAGGGCCAGCAAATTTTCGACGCTAAAAATGTGTAAAAATTGCCAACCGTCGGATCATCCTTCGCAGATTAAAACTATACAATAAACCAATAAACTGTACTTAATAATTGTCACCTAACATAAAAATATAGTAATATTGTGCTAAGGACTTAAAAAGCAAGTCAGATCTAAAATTCACCGTGAGCATTGTAAGATTAAGGATTCTTTTTTCTCCGTAATCATGCCTTTTTAGGTGACAAGATTTACACACCATTTTCTCTTATGTCGATAGCCAAAGTGCAAAACCACGTATTTCCATTGCGGTGTTTCAAAATTTCCGCTCCTATTTTATTTTTTCGAAAAGAGAAATAAGCCAACTTTATAGCTTGACATTTAAAAAGAATATTCTGCTAATGGATGAGAAAAATCGAGAAAGTTTGCACGAAATTACGTTGACCAGTTTCCCAGAGAAAAGATGAAGTATGACAGAGAGTCTGCATCGTCGCAAACGGAGATACGTGGTTTCATATGGATGCAGCCATCGACATTAGCCAAACAGTGGGTTTTCTCCTTTTTTCTCTAACTTTTTTTTCACGATGAATGAGCAAATTTTTACCATAATCTAGGAGAAAAAATACTGCTTGATAATTGAGCCGTTCAAACGTCTTCATAAGCAACTCCGAGGGGAGCAATACTGCCATGCTGAGGAAAAACGCCGTAAGAGCCTCCGGATGTTGCCAAATTTCCTCTGATAAAGCATGAATTTTTGAGAAAAGTTCTGAATATTTCACTTTGAAATTTTGACATACTATAGAATTAATCGCGAATAAATTTCTCTGAAAAATCGGAAGGAAAATAGTACCAAGTTTCCCTGAGAATTCGCGTTTCATCAAAAGAAATTCGGCAACGTCTGAAGACTCATACGGCGTTTTTCCTTTAGCACGGCGGAATATACGGCCGATTTCGCCCCCGATAACGCAATGTGTTTTTGTATCGTTAGATGATAATTATCATAAGTTTACACGCTATGCGGTGGCGAGCCCCGGTGACGATGATGCGTAATTAATAGGACGTATCGAAAGTCAGCTCGGGGTTGAGGGGTGAGCTTTGCGCAACGATTTGGGTGGGTGCGAGGCGAGGCGAGGCTTAACTAGGCGTCAAATCCGCTTTCAATAAAATCGGAACGAGACAAATCCATTCGCCGGGACTGTCAGCAAAACCGTCAGTTTCCACCCCAAAACAGGGCCGAGCCCTGCACCTGCTGATGCAGACAGGGCGGGCAGGGTTCGTGGATGAAGACCCTGCATCGGCTCCGATTAAGATGGGATCCGTCAAAAATGAGGGCGGTGCAAACGTCAAATTAGCTGACCTTTGATCTCGTCATCATATCTGCCACACATGGAAAATTCTCTATTTCGAATAGGATGGTTTGGCGCGATGGTATAGTCGTCAGCGCTTCATCGGGGTTTTAACCATCAGCTTTTGAGTCAATGTTGGGCTAAAGTTGGGAACATGGGAGTACGACCAGGGGGGCCTGGTCCCCTTGGAATTGAAAATAGTATCTGCTGCCTCCACCCCCCAGAAATTCTGGATGGTGAGAAAAAACCCTCGTCGAGGATATTAATCTCTTTTAATGAAGAGACTTAAATGAAAACACTGCGTTCATCCAGTTGGTATTTTCTAAAAATGTTATTATGGAACTCTCAAAATGCGTCCAAATAGAATTACAAATTCAAAAATTTTCCAGATGTGTTGACTGCGACAAATCGAGGGTATTTCGAGCTGAAAGTAAAAAAAAAGGCGTGATTTTTCTACGAAAATAGATGGAATATCTGAGTCACAAAGCCTCAAAACGCGTCCAAATGGATTTAAAATTTCAAAAATTTGCCGAGGGAGGCCCTCTGAATCCCCCCTGTATTGGGTGGTGTGAGAGGGGTCCCCCTAGACCTCCCGTGGTGGGGGATCAAGTCCCCTTAGCAAAATGATCTAAGTACGCCTGTGGTCAGGAATTATTTGTCCTGCTTACCGAGAAAAGCTTACCAGCCTAATTTTTGGCATGATATTAATGACGGGGTACCCCCAGACTTAAGTATTCATGTTGGTTCCTTTCTAGAATAAGAAAATTTATTAATAAAATTACAGGTTCACAGAATCAATTTGCTCTATCTAACTTATAAATCTTATCTTGATGTTTGTTAATTGACGCTGATATAAAGTCAGTACATCCTAGATTTGGTTCTGAGTTTTAGCCATGGCGGGAGACTCTGTGACGGCTCAGCTAAAATCCATTACGTGTCCATTGAGGCATAACTGGGTGATTTATTACTAATTGAACCGCACTGTTTCAGTACTGACAAATGCGGTAAACATGGATCCCAATCTCAGTAATTCAAAAACTTCAAGTGAAAAATTGCGGTCCGTCTATTTTGAGAAGCGGGATAGAAATGTGACACAGATGGACTCTAAACAACAGGAAAAAATTATTTTTGATGAATGTGTTTTGAGGAATAGTCGTCATAATGAAAGAACTATACTTGTCGATGGTGAAAATAGACTGGCATATTATTTCCTGATCTATTGTGGTGCTTCAAACTTTTTGCTCATCGGTTGCCTTCGTTTTCTCGGGAAAAGAATTAATTATATATTTATACGTGCGCTTTAAGAAAATATTTGTGAATATCGTTGATAAAATACGTCTCATTTTTCATAAAATGGAAGAAACCGAGCGTTTTCCGTTTGGGAATCAAACAAAATCATGATTTCGGCAAAATTAGTTCGATACCTCGGTTTTTTCGTCAATGTAAATTGAATCTCTCGGTTCGAAAACAAGTAAACTCAGGTTTTTTACTGCATCGATTTTTTGCGTTGAAAAACTCCTTTTCTGACTGTTCCACAGTTATTATCGTTTCCTGAAAAATGGAGTTTTTCCGAGATGAGTCGTTCTGGAAATGAGAGATTCAATTTACTTAGAGGTACATGATACATGAGCAGATACGATTCAAAATCGCCAATACGTATCCGGACAGTGTGAAATCTTTTAAAACTACCGTGCTAAGAAAAATCGTCGTATGAATCTTCAGGCGTTGCCAAATATCCTTTGACGAATCAGGAACTTTTGGGGAAATTTGTAAATATATTTCCTACAAATTTTTCAGATAATTTTTTTCGCAATTTCAACTAAAGTTCCTGAGAATTTCAAGGAAAAATATTCATAGCTTTCCTCAAAAAGAAACATTTTATCGGAGGAATTTTGGCAATTCTCGAACGTTCATACGGCGTTTTTCCTTAACACGACAAAATACCTGAGTCTTCCTGTGCAACGTGTTTCTTTCCTTTCCTGATCCGGGCAGATCCCAGCTCGTACATCGAGAAATCCAATCAAAATAATGAAAACATCGAGGAGTCATAAATGTCCCTCATAAAATGAATTATGAATTTAAATTATCACGCACTTGAGACAGAAGTACCTTGTTCTTTATCGGAGTATTTTGAAAGTAACAAACCCGGTAGAAGTGACTTCACCGCGCGAGAGACACAGAACACTGACTTCACAATTATTGTCGGAGACAAGTCTCATGACCGCGGCTTAACAGCGGTATTTGTAAACACAACTCGTCGAAAAGTGTTAAAACAGCTGCTGGAGTGCCATTCAAACTGGAGCATCATTCATTCCTCGCCGACGCGGCGCGGCGCAAGTATGTCTCCCACTTTCTCATCAAAGAGGCATTAACTTGGATTTATTCCTTGTTTCATATCAGTCGAATGAAAAAAAAGTAAAAAGCGATACGGACATCCGCGATTCGGCCGTGTTCATTTTTTTAAACGCTGCGGTTGATTGATAATTTTACAATTATTAGGACTGAGAAAAACATCGCCCCTCTCACCAATTGCATGTTTAATTGTGTTTTTTCTCTCTCTTTTTCTTTTAATGGGTCAGTTGCGCTGGTCATGGAATCGAGTTTTGCTGCTTCATTCTTGTAGATTGAAAGCAAGGTGGAAAAAACCAAGGGTGTCACTACCGCTGTGGATGACGTCAAAATCCGACTTTTCAAGGGGCGATATCTTGATTAATATTGAACGTAGAAAGTTGCTGTTTGGACAGATATTGGTGTTTTTAGTTGATCGCCAAGAATCAAGCATCAAAACACGATTCTGAGACCAGCGCAACTGACCCATGGTCAAGGTGCGAAATCTCGTGTCTCCGTTTGCGACGTTGTAGACGACCTATCAAGCTTCATTTTTTCTTTGGGAAACTAGTTAACGTAATTTTTTTTATAAAATCTTCCTTATTTTTTCTCTAGCAGCGGAATAGTCTGTATGAAGTTCAGATAAGCCAGAGCTGCAGTTTACACGAGCTTTAGATGTGGGTCTGCAAATCAATTTTAAAAAAGAATCAGACATGAACCTGAAAGAAGAAGGGAAGAAGCGAGTATCAACACTGCCGAAGACAGGAGAGATGCATTACACACGAGTACGCCGCGCGCCATCGCGCCTTCAATTTTTCAGATGCATCACGGACGTCCATCAAGTACGAATAGTTGTATCTCTGCGCCGTCGTCAATGCGCATCCTTTCCCTCGCTCTACTTCCATATTGTGTTTGAGTCCGTTAGTCTTATTCGTAGCGGTGCCTGAAGGGCTATGTGAGTAACACAGCCGAAGATAGGAGTGACATATTTGTTTTTTTGTTTTTTAAAAAAAAAAAAAACTTTTCCTCCGAATCTCACTAGCATCCTAGAGCAGAGCATTGCGAGTTCACACCTCACGACTCTCGCCGCGCCATCGCGCCTTAAAGTTTTCATATGCAATGTGGACATTCATCTTGCGAGAATAGTTGTATTGCGTTTAGATGTCTCTTATTTTTGAAATTTAAGATAAGCTAAGGTTAAGTTTGCTCGAAAACGCATGGATACAAGAGGTTTTTCAGGACAACTCATGGAACTAATGGTTGTTCATGTCGGCAGTACTATTGCGGTATTATACCTATGTTGATAATTTTGATTTTTTCATTCATCCTAAAAAGGTATAAAATTCAATGTTTGAGGGGGCATTTAAGTTTTGAAATTTTCCAAAGTACTTTAGAATGCTGTATGAAACTTTTGGATCACAGATATACTTGGTGATGCAGCTGCATTAAATAGAGAGCAGTTTGATGTCATCAGAGGTTTCAATAAGCGTAAAATACTCTGATTTTGATGGGTAGAGGAAGACCATGTTTTTATGAGAGACACGCTGCTAAGACAAATGCACCCCTTCCAATGCGCATTCGTACATAAGAGCTTATCATCTCAATCGACGTTGTCAATTCGACTATCACGGAACGGAATTAAACTTATTGAGGATTTCGAACTAAAAAAAAACCCACCGGTTCTAAATGCAATTAATGCTGCAACAAGAAAGTATTGCAGGTGATTTTCGGGCTCGGTGCAGCAAGAGACTTTCACCGATGAAAATGTCACAAGCAACGGGGGCAAAATGACGAGAGGATAAAAAATAAAATGAGAAGTCAAAGTGGCAACGTTGACGGAGGGTGCAAAGTCACGGGGCCAGTTAGTGTTGGCAATATGTTTTGATATTATGAAACAGGGGGTGGTATTAATATGACACAGCTTACGGCCTCCGAGAATAATCCGATTCATCATGCCTCAACACCCCTCAAAGGGTCCTAAGTGAGAGGCAAATTGAAATTAACTTTCGGATAAATTCACTAAACGGATAAATATTTTCTGCTCCCTTTCGTAATTGCTCGCCCTGCGCTTATTAAGCTGCGTGGCGCGGAATCAAGAGGAATCGACCATTGTTCTTATCAGTAACTCGGATCCTGTTGTAATCACTCTTAAGCTACAGGTGAGTACCCCTAGAGTCCCCGCAGATGGAGAGAATTGACGTGTTTGAACCGCTCTCTGATTGGTTCATCGCTTATGCGTTTTTCATGGGGCTTTTAAGGTAGATTTTCGACTTTTGCGCGATGAACTCTGGGTACGATCGAGATATCTCAACAGTGCTTTGCGATTTATCGATTGATCTGCCGTTTAAACATACGGAAAAGGATTGATGAACAGGGTGTTCGCAACGAACACCTTTATAATTGATTTTTTATCATAGCTTCGAACGGGGAAATATCGATAATCGATCATTCACGCACTGATTTTTTCCGAAGAAAAAATCTAGTATGACAGGAGTAATGCAGCGTCGCAAACGGAAATATGTGGTTTCGCACTTCGGCCATTGATATCATCTTCAAAAATGTCGAAACGAAGTCTACATACTGCTACTGCATCAAAGTGCTGTGTGTGTTGCTTATACCTACTATTTGAAGGGGCTCTTCTTTCTTAAATTAATCGCACTAAAATTGAAATCAATTTTAATTTGTCTTTACGATTTCCTATCTTTTTAATACGAAAGACTCATTTTATCCATTCTTTTAAGGTGGCATTACTCACCAAACGATGTAAGAATATCGCAATCTCATGGCAAAAAATTTGCAATGTTATAGCATTAAATTACAAGTTAATTTGATATTTTCGTTGCTCTGCATACTTGAAAGTCGGTAGAACTTTCAAGGAAACTCAAAATAAAAAAATTTGGTCCTCGTGGCCTTTGGCAGTGGATAGAATACAATTTGATGGCCAAAATTAGAAACCGCGTATCTCTGTTTACGATGTTGCAGAATTCCTGTCACAATTTATTTTTTCTCACGGAAAATGCTCAACGTAATTTCTCGAAACCCTCCTTGATTTGTCTTCTGTATCAGTAAGATATTCTGTGCTATCAAGCCATAGATTTGAATTTTTCTCCTCGAGAAAATAACATGGAAAAGGAAATTTTGAAACATCGCAATGGACATACTTGATTGGTGATTCTTCCTCGTATGACCAGAGCAAAGCACCCTAAAACCACAGGCACTTGCCCATTGTCAGGATTGATGGGCTGTTTTGATCGTAGAGGCCTGATCCGTGAGCCATGCGCGGCAAATCGCGGATGAAAAGGCGAAAAAAAACCGGGCTGAAGTCAGTGCCCGGGGCATGACGAACAGGTTCATTCCATTCAATGTTCCGGTGGCCGAAGGGACGAGACGAGGGACGAGGGGAGCGCGACCGCATCCTAACTAGAAGAACAGGGACAGAGCAAAACAGCAGTAAGTGAGTTTCAGGGTGAGCCACGGTTAGCAGTTGTTACAACGGGTTTCAAGCCCCATGTAGAAATGTACGACAGGGACGCTTGACGCCCTAGGGATGGTTGCGCTTTCTGGAGCAATTAGCGAGATATTACGCGACGCGATATTCGAAATGCACCCTCTCTCGGTCTCGGGCAAATTGCAGGGCCCCGGCCCGAATTTAAATAATAATAACAACACAAAAACAGATTGCGTTCTACTCGTGAATTAATCGGCGCGGTAGGCGTAGAGATCCACTTGTTTAAATCTTATTAAATGTAGGCGACACCGTGACTAATCCTGATTCGTATTGTCTCTGATGCACTGACTGCCGTGAGGAAGGATAGGGAGTAAGGGATATTACAAGTTTCGCGGTTGAAATAATGTTGTGATTCGGCGGTCGAAGCTGAATTAAGTGGCCACGTGGTTGTGGTGTTACGTCAAAGGGTTGAAAAAATCTTCGGAATTGTGAATCTCTGGAAAATTCAATTGGAATATCTGTTTTCATTGTTCTTATTTTCCGAATATCAGCACTTTTCGGACATTTTCACGACCATATTAATTAACTATAGACGGTGAAACTACCAAACCACGTATCTCGTTTGCGGTGTTTAAAAATCTACGCTCGCATTTTATTTTTTTGAAGTAGACCGAATCAATATCATTCCTTGAAATTTTCACAGAATTTTCTCCGCACGGGGAGGAAAAATCACAGAAATTTTCAAGACTGGACGTCAAGTAGTTTTTCATTTAAAAAATAAAGTATGACAGGAAGTCTGCGACGTCGCAAACCGAGATACGTGGTTTGGTAGTTTCACCGTCGCTATGCTGCCGTGCCAAGGAAAAACGTCGTATGAACGTAAGGGGGGGGGGGCACATTTCCTCCGATGAAATGTTTATTTTTGAGGAAAGTTATGAATGATACTCTTTGAAATTTTCAGGGACTTGCGGTGGAATTGCGTACAATATTATTTGAAAAATGAAAGAAAAACATTTCCACATTTTCCCGAAAATTTGTGATTTACCAGGGGCAATTTGGGAACATCTGAAGATTCATACGGCGTTTTTCCTTGGCACGGCAGTATGGGATTCTAAGGTTGCTAAATAGAGATGTTGCATGTGTGAGGAATTTTCGATTTGACTGTAGATTCTTATGTAAAAGTTCGCGAGAAACACGATGGTGCCACTGATTTTCTCTGAAATATCTCCCAAGCTCAAACAAAGCTCTCAAAGTGAGGCCAAAATGGAGGGGATATCCCTCCCTACCCTGAGAGTCCACCTCTACATCAAAACAAACCCTCCATGCAAAGATAGGGAGCAAATACATTAGCAGGGTTGCCGTGTTTTCNTGCGTGGCGAGGAATCAAGAGGAATCGACCTTTGCTCTTATCAGTAACTAGGATCCTGTTGTAATCACTCTTAAGCTACAGGTGAGTACCCCTGGCCTAGAGTCCCCGCAGAGGGAGAGAATTGACGTGTTTGAGCCGCTTTCTGATTGGTCTATCGCTTATGCGCTTTTCATGTGCTTTTAATGTGGATTTTCAGCTTTTGCGCGATGAATTCTGGGTACGATCGAGATATCTCAACAGTGCTTTGCGATTTATCGATTGATCTGCCGTTTAAACATACGGAAAAGGATTGATGAACAGGGTGTTCGCAACGAACACCTTTATAATTGATTCTTTATCATAGCTTCGAACGGGGAAATATCGATAATCGATCATTCACGCACTGATTTTTTCCGAAGAAAAAATCGAGTATGACAGGAGTAATAAAGCGTTGCAAACGGAAATATGTGGTTTCGCACTTCGGCCATTGATATCATCTTCAAAAATGTCGAAACGAAGTCTACATACTGCTACTGCATCAAAGTGCTGTGTGTGTTGCTTATACCTACTATTTGAAGGGGCTCTTCTTTCTTAAATTAATCGCACTAAAATTGAAATCAATTTTAATTTGTCTTTACGATTTCCTATCTTTTTAATACGAAAGACTCATTTTATCCATTCTTTTAAGGTGGCATTACTCACCAAACGATGTAAGAATATCGCAATCTCATGGCAAAAAAATTGCAATGTTATAGCATTAAATTACAAGTTAATTTGATATTTTCGTTGCTCTGCATACTTGAAAGTCGGTAGAACTTTCAAGGAAACTCAAAATATAAAAATGTGGTCCTCATGGCCTTTGGCAGTGAATAGAATACAATTTGATGGCCAAAATTAGAAACCGCGTATCTCTGTTTGCGATGTTGCAGAATTCCTGTCACACTTTATTTTCTCTCTCGGAAATTACTCAACGTGATTTCTCGAAACCCTCCTTGATTTTTCTTCTGTATCAGTAGGAAATTCTGTGCTATCAAGCCATAGATTTGACTTTTTTCTCCTCAAGAAAATAACGTAGAAATGGAAATTTTGAAACATTGCAATTGACATACTTGATTGGTGATTCTTCCTCGTATGACCAGAGCAAAGTACCCTAAAACCACAGGCACTTGCCTATTGTCAGGATTGATGGGCTGTTTTGATCGTTGAGGCCTGATCCGTGAGCCATGCGCGGCAAATCGCGGATGAAAAGGCGAAAAAAAGCCGGGCTGAAGTCAGTGCCCGGGGCATGACGAACAGGTTCATTCCATTCAATGTTCCGGTGGCCGAAGGGACGAGACGAGGGACGAGGGGAGCGCGACCGCATCCTAACTAGAGGAACAGGGACAGAGCAAAACAGCAGTAAGTGAGTTTCAGGGTGAGCCACGGTTAGCAATCGTTACAATAGGTTTCAAACCCCATGTAGAAATGTACGCCTGTCTCCCGTGGCAGGGACGCCCGACGCCCTAGGGATGGTTGCGCTTTCTGGAGCAATTAGCGAGATATTACGCGACGCGATATTCGAAATGCACCCTCTCTCGGTCTCGGGCAAATTGCAGCGCCCCGGCCCGAATTTAAATAATAATAACAACACAAAAACAGATTGCGTTCTACTCGTGAATTAATCGGCGCGGTAGGCGTAGAGATCCACTTGTTTAAATCGTATTAAATGTAGGCGACACCGTGACTAATCCTGATTCGTATTGTCTCTGATGCACTGACTGCCGTGAGGAAGGATAGGGAGCAAGGGATATTAGAAGTCTCGCGGTTGAAATAATGTTTTGATTTGGAGGTCGAAGCTGAGTAGTGGCCACGTGGTTGTGGTGTTACGTCAAAGGGTTGACAAAATCTTCGGAATGGAGATGTTCCATGTATAAGGGATTTGCGATTTGACGATTGATAAAAGTTCTTTAAAAGTTTGACGATTCTTTCGTAAAAGTTCGCGGGAAACACGATGGTGCCACTAGTTTTCTCTGAAATCAACTCCCAAGCTCGAAAAAAGCTCTCAAGTTGAGGCCAAAATGGAGGGGATATCCCAAGCTATCCTGAGAGTCCACCTCTACATCAAGACAAACTCTCCATGCGAAGATAGGGAGCAAATACAGCAGGGTTGCAGTGTTTTCAGTTTTAGAGTCCCCAAATAAAGTGGCAGCCCTGTCAATGTATTTGCTCCCTATCTTTGCATGGAGAGTTTGTCTTGATGTAGACGTGGACTCTCAGGAATGCGTGGGATATCCCCTCCATTTTGGCCTCACTTTGAGAGCTTTTTTTGAGCTAAGGAGTTAATTTCAGAGAAAACCAGTGGCACCATTGTGTTTCTCGCGAATTTTTACAAAAGAATTAATAGTCAAATCGCAAATTCCTCACACATGCAACATTTCAATTGTCAATCTCTGAAAAATTCAATTGGAATATCTGTTTTCATTGTTCTTATTTTCCGAATATCATGCACTTTTCGGACATTTTCACGACCATAATAATAAACTGTCCTGCCGTGCTAAGGAAAAACGGCGTGTATGAGCATTCGAGGGGTGCCACATTTCATCCGATAAAATGTTTATTTTTTATGAAAGTTGTGAATAATATTCCTTAAAAATTCCTTCCTTTTTTCCCGAAAATTCGTGATTTACCGGGAGAGCTTTGGGGACACCTGAAGATTCATACGGCGTTTTTCCTTGGCACGGCAGTATGGGATTCTAAGGTTGCTCAATTAAGGGGCTTGGTGGGCACGGCACGCACGTAAGTACAGTTTTTGCTACTTCGAGAAATGCTTGTTTGAAGTTTCGACATTACATAAATCCTTATGGTGGAAAGAACATTTAAACCGCCTTCTTGGCACTTAAAAATTCAAATCTGGGAGCAACTTTTTCACAGAATATGCAATAAAACCAGTTTCACTTGAAATCATTAATATCTCAATTTTGTTAAAAAACTGCACTTATGCGCCTTGTTCTCCAATCCCGTCAATTGAACGTCGATGGCCAAAGCGCGAAATCACGTATTTCCTCTGCGATGTTTCAAAATTTCCGCTCCTTTCTATTTTTTTGAAAAGATACAAGACAATTTTATGGCTGGAAATGCATACAGAATATTCTGCTCATGGAGCAGAAAAATTAGGGAATAACGTTCACTAGATTTCCAAGGAAAAAATAAACTATGACAGAAAGCCTGCAACGTCGCAAACGGAGATACGTGGTTTCACTCTTCAGCCATCGATTTGTAAAAGTATTTTAATTGGATGTTTTAAATGTATTTCCCTTTAACGTGATCGATTTTACCTCTCAGCTCGGACCATCCCAAAAAGAGCATGTGTCAAGTTTCAGCTCCGAATCGGATACGAACTCGAACCCATAAATATGTGTTTTCTGTTTACATCTTTGGCTCTTGGCTGGAAAATGTGTTTTCTGGTATTTTTTTTTAAACTAATAATTTTCCGAGAAATAGCGCAATGAATAAGAAAATTAAGGTCGTTTTCAGCTCCAACGATAAACATTTGGTGAGATACGTTTATTTAGACTCTTCATTCCACACCACATTCAGCCGTCAAAGCACTGCATGAAGTTCATACGAGAATATGGTTTCAATGGTTTCACTTTGAATTTTTGGCAGCAAACGGATCCTTTTCGCCTAGAAGCACATTTCAGCTGTTAGTTTCCATAAAATCTCAGTTTTAAAACTTCAATTAAAGTTTAAAGTATGCGAATGCGCAACTTAGACGTTCAATTCGACTAATCGAATGCAATATTTCGTGTTCGTGTTTAAGATGCACAAAATAGATTCTTAAAGGAAACAGCTGAAGGGACCTACTAAGTGTAATAGATTAATGTTTTGTTAAAAATGTAAAGAGAAGCTATTTTTTTTTGCAACATTAGTCCATCATCTCAATTGCTTAGTGTCGCTAAAAATTTACTTTAACTATCGCGCAATCCCGGTGATTTTCTCCGATTTTCCCCCGTTTTTATTTCTCCTCAGAGTAAGCTAATCGAGTTTGCATCAAAATAGCAAAAAACGATGAAAATATTGGCATAATGTCTGATGTTCAAGTCCTTAGCATATCCTTTTCTTTCTGGATTGTTCCGTTCTATCATGAAAGAGCCAATCTCGGGTGAAAGCAGGTGAATCGGACGTATTTCCACCAAACTGAACTATTCGCATTATGACGTGAGCCCTATTATGAATATATTCTCATAGGTCTCAGGGCTCATGTCTTAGTGCACATAGTTCTATTTGGCAGAAAGACGTGTGCAATTAAGTTCGCGAGCAAAGGAAAAATCACAGCGCAAGCGAGGGCGAGGGGTTGGTGAACGGGCGCGCGGGGATCGGGGGAGTAGTTAAAATAAGGGATGTAATTTCTGCTCTCTGATAGGCTGCCAGGTTGCGCCGAAGCGAGCCAACCGCGAATGAAACAGTGTTTCCAGCGAGGAGGAGGGTCCTTCCTGAACGAGGGTCAAACTATCCCTCCGTCAAAATGTATCTATGGTTTTTCTCGGCGCTCAGTTTTTAATCAATTCTAGAATCAGATTGACTGGAATCTTCCATCGAACTGAGATTTATCCAACCTAACGTGAACGACAATACGTTTTTCGGCGTGTAAATTGTTTAACGCGTAGTTATCCTCTTATCAGATTTACGGAATCAGTGTTTCAAGGCGTTTTTGGTTTCTGTCGTATCAAAATTCGGGTAACTTTTTTTTTGTCCCACCAAGTGTTTGTGACCAACTTTGTCTGTGTAAAACAAGCGATATTTCCCTTTTTTATTTTTAATGGTAACCAACAATCTATGCAAAATTTGTTTGAGACATAGGCGAAATTTTTGAGTCGATTTGAATAAAGCCTGTAGCATTCTGCTGGGGAGATATTTTGCATCAGAACAGGATATTTGTGTTACTTTTTCATCGACTTATTGAGGTATTATTGAGATATCGGGACAAAAAAGGTATAAGTTTTGGATCATTTCAGTGCAAAAGAGGATTATGGAATAAAATATGGTGTCAAGACTATGAATTCTCATTGCGGACCAACTCCGAACGGCGAGCACATTCCTCTTCCCTGGCATTTGGGACCACCCCCGTCGGCTATAAACGTGAGTAAAATTTTAAATAATTAAAATACATTGACAGGGAGAAAATCATGGAAAAGTTTCAGCGAACGCTTTTAAAAACTTTGATAAACCAGATGACTCCTAAAATTATCCAATATCGATGGCAAAAGTGCAAAACCGCGTATCTCCATTGCGGAGTTTCAAAATTTCTGCTCCTATTTTTTTCGAGGAGAAACGAGCCAAATTTACAGCTTTAAATTTTTAACGAGTATTTTGCAAATAGTGAAGAAAAATTAAGGCAGTTTTTGGGAAATAACGTTGAATAGTTTTCAAAAGAAAAAAATGAAGTATAACAGGAAGTCTGCAACGTCGCGGACAGAGATACGTGGTTTTGCACTTTGGCCATCGATATTGTTTTTACTTGAAAAATTCAAGAGGTTAATCTTTCATTAAATATTGAATCTTTTATGCGGGAAATTTGCAGATGCATACCGACGGTGTAAGTCGGCAATCACAAAACTCGTTTGCGGTGTCTGAAAATGTCCGCCTCTATGTTATTATTTTAGAGGAGAACAAATTGACATCCTTCCTCGAAGTTTTTGCATAATTTTCTTCTTACAGAGAAGGAAAATCAAGGCAGTTTTAAAGAATTGCCGTTGAGTAGTTTTCCGTTTAAAAAATAAAGTATGACAGGAAGTATGCGACGTCGCAAACCGAGTTAGGTGATTGCCGACTTCCACTGTCGATATGTCTAATAATAAACCGAACATTTAAAAAGGGTCAATGCGTTTAGTTTCTAAGGCTAGTCTCCTCAATGTCATCGTCATTCCTTAAAATCCAACGACCTTAGCCATTTCAGGAATTGACCAGCTGAGTTGGTGCGTTAAGTTCGCCTTCACTTTCGAGTGATACTGTGCCACGCCCGGGTGATCGAATAGTTGCTTCGCGCTTTTGCACGCTAAGTATAGGTCGCGTTCATTTCCACTGTTATTCCTTAAAATGCAACGACTTTATCCATTACAGGAATTATCGTTTGCTCAAGCAATTCCGGTTTCTTTGCAGTCACTAGTTCGCTTGCTGCACTGGGGGAAAAAAACACATTGGATCTGGAGTCCAGAATCTTGAAAACATTGACAAGAAAAAAATACTCTTGATTCAATCAGATTTAAGATTAAATCAAAAGGAAATCCGCTCAAATTAAGAGGCTTGGCTCTTGATTTAATCAAAAATCCGATTGAATCAAAAGTATTTTTTCTTGTCGATGTTTTTAAGAGTCTGGACTCTAGATCCAATGTGTTTTTTTTTCAAGTGTGTCCTGTTTGCAGGATTCGGCTTAATTTCATCGATCAGTCTACGGACTATACAGGCAGCCAGTTCAAGGATTGACCGATTTTCCGGCTATCGTGCGGGATGACCTATGTGACTTGTCATTCCATGAAAGGGGGGGGGGGAATGCATGTTTTGCATACAGAATGGTCGATTCCGTAAACCCTAAACGGGGTGTAAAATTTCCATCACGAGTCGAAAACGTCGTGAGTGATTAAAATGTGTACCAAATCCTCATTCTTGCTTATTTTGCGAATTTTTGTTTTCCTCTCTAATTTTTTGGAAGGAGGGATATTAAACAAAAGTATCAAGAGAGATGTATTCTTAGCGTGAGTTAGCTGTAACCGCTGACCGCAGGCGAAGGGATTTTAATCCATCGACAGATCATTAATGAGTGAAATCGAACACTTGATTATACAAAAAGCGTTACCTAAAAAAATCAAATAAAATCGGTGCCGGATCAGTATCGGATATATCAGGGGGGCCAAGTTTTAAATTTTGAAGGAACCAAGACCCCTTAAAATGCTTTTTTAACTTGAGATTTCGGTATTCAAGAGGCCAAGGATGAATTCATCGCTAAAAATAATAAAGAATAGCCGTTTCTTATGAGTTTAAGTCCGTAGACGTCACAATTACGTGAGAAAAAACAATTTTTCACCTACGACGTTGCAGACTTCTTGCCATGCTTCATTTTTTCTTTGGAAAATTGGTGAGCGTAGTATGCATTAAGAAGTGCCTTTATATTCTTTCTCAGAATACTCTGTATGAATATCAAGCTGTGCGTTTGGCTTGTTTCTCCTCGAAAAAATAAAAACGTAGCAAAAACTTTGAAACTCCGTAATGGAGATATGTGGTTTCGCACTTTGGCCATATATACATATACACATACATCTGCACGTATGTGACACTCCTGTAGTCTGGCGGTTTAACCCAAGGACACCGTGCATATAGAAATTCATTTTTGCGAGAGCTCTCATTCATCCAAGTTTCTAATGAGGCCGATCAGACTAAGAATGCAGCATATACTTTCCTTTCTTTAAAAGTTCAAATAAATGAAATCACGCTGGGGTAAAAACGCCTGAATAAAACTATTCTAACACTTGGGAAACCCGTGTTGCATTCTTTCCACATTGAAGGCGCAGGTCAATACTTACGACGTTGACGATAGAAACGTCCTAGAATATGTCCGTTTTGACGTTTGTTGCTGGTCGATAAGAGAAGAACTTCCAAATTACGTCATGGAAGAAGCTAGGTTCCGAATCTTCAATTTTTGACAACCGTGGATCCTACAAAAAAATTTGGAGGAGCATTTTCAATAACACAAGATTTTTCCAGGTCAGTTTCAGCTGACAAATGAGGAAAGACAATTAGGCCTCTCTCTTATGGTCTTCGATGGTAACACGTTACCCGTCATTTACGTAATAATTTATTTACCAACAAACCTTAAATCTTCTTTAATTTTGATTGATTTCTCGTCATCCTGAATGGATTTCCGATTTGACTATGATCTAAAGGCATTTAAACCCCGTTTATTAAGTACATTTACACTAGGATAAATTTTCCAGTTAATTATACGGAGTACGGACGAGACTTCTTGTTGAGTCAACTGGAAACCTCTTTGTAGTGACAGGTTGGCTCTTTGAAATGAGGAGCTTGGAGGACAAGAGGGATAAGTGCAGTTTTTGCTATCTGAAGTAAATACGTATTTAAAGTTTCAAAACTAGATGGTGCTTTACAAAGAGAGTCCAAACTCACTTTTTGATGCTTAAAAATTTGATTTTAATGGTGAATTTTTCACGGAATATATTTTAAGACATTGTGTACAGCCTATGTAGGCTGATTAAAGTTTAGTGGCGTATCGTGTGTATTTTTAGTTCCTATAGGAACTCCATTAGTTTAAATTCCCTTTATAACTATAACAGAAACTGTTAAAAGATAAAATCGGTCTTAATCTTTGGAATTCGATTAATATCTACTACTCTGGACATTAGTTGACAAGGCTTTAGGGTGATTACGGGTTTCATGTGTTTTTTGCGGGCTTCATGTGTTAAAATCAACATAAACGTCATTCATGTGTAAAAGCATCTCAATTTTTGAAAAACTGCGCTTATCTCTGTGTCTTCTAAGCCCTTTAAATGAGAGACACAATTTTTAAAACAAGATTTCCTGTTGACTCGCGTCGAAAATTCTCGTCCGGGAATCATCGACTGCGGGTTGGTTGTTGAAATTGATAGACAAAGCTATATACAAGCTATATACAAGCTATATACAAAGAATACATAGGGAATATGGAGCGATCCTATTGGTTGAAATGAGTGGTTCTTAAAGTAAAGACAAGAGGGAAAATATTGGACTAACCATAGGGTCTCTCGTGGCTTGCCTTTAGTTAGTCTTTTACCTACCTCTTTTCTCCATTACGATCACCCGCTTCCACCAATACTGTCGTGCTAAGGAAAAACGCCGTATGAGCCTCCAAGCGCTACCAAATTTCATTTAGTAAATCACGAAATTACGGGAAAATTTGTGAATATTTTTCTTCCAGTTTTTCAGATAATTTTGTTCGCAATTTCACCTTCCTGAAAATTTCAAGGGAAAATATCCATAGCTTTCCTCAAAAATCAACATTTTATCGAAGGAAATTTGGCAACTCTCTAATGTTCAGACGGTGTTTTTCCTTAGCACGGCAGAATAGGATCCCTCCATATCCCTTTTGTTTTCTGTGTCTATAGCTTCCTCCATCAATTTCAAAAATCAGCCCGCTGGAATTTCTTTTGATCCAACAAAACAATGGAGATGTTGCATGTGTGAGGAATTTGCGATTTAACTGTTGATTCTTATGTAAAAGTTCGCGAGAAACACGATGGTGCCACTGGTTTTCGCTGAAATCAATTCCCAAGCTCAAAAAAATCTCTCAAGTTGAGGCCAAAATGGAGGGGATATCCCACCCTACCCTGAGAGTCCACCTCTACATCAAGATAAACTCTCCATGCAAAGATAGGGAGCAAATACATTAGCAGTGATGCCGTGTTTTCAGTTTTAGAGTCCCCAAATAAGGTGGCAGCCCTGTCAATGTATTTGTTCCCTATCTTCGCATGGAGAGTATGTCTTGGTGTAGAGGTGGACTCTCGGGATAGCGTGGGATATCCCCTCCATTTTGGCCTCAAATTGAGAGCTTTCTTTGAGCTTGGGAGTTGATTTCAGAGAAAACCAGTGGCACCATCGTGTTTCTCACGAACTTTTACATAAGAATCTACAGTCAAATCGAAAATTCCTCACACATGCAACATCTCCATTCTTCCGTTTAATCCTTGATTTACGATACACATTCCTCCCATGGGTTAATAGAATGGATTTGGAAATTTTGTGAGCAGGGATCAGGAGGTGTGCATGTGCACGGACATAGTCACGGACAGGCGCACGGACACGGAGGAGGGTTGGAGATGAACGGAGGCGGCGGTGGAGCCGCTGGTCACTGCGCGGATCTGTCCTACGGAGCAGCTCTCTGGGAGCATCATGGCGGCGCACCTACCCCTTATCGACCGGATCTCCTCGCATTCTCCCCGGAGCTCTGGGCCGCCTCGGCACCCTCCATCCCCCAAAACAGAACCCCCTGCGTCCTCCAGCAAAGGTAAGAATCTAATTCCCACCGCCCTCTTTGTACTCGAGTAGCACACTGAAAACAAAATCTCTGTGTATTTACTAAGGAAAGGGTAAAATTACCAAGAATTCAGGGTTCAATTTGATCCCAGTTTTTTCTTGGTAAAATTACCATTTATGGAATTGGTAATTTTACCGAGAAATCTCGGTAAAATTATCGAACTCTCTCGGTAATTTTACTGGACCTTGGTAAAAACGCCAATATTTTTTATCGACTGCGGTAAAATTACCGAGATAAAATGGTAAAGTTACCCGGAATTGATTACCAATAAAAGTGGTATTCTTACCTGAAAAAAACAGTAAGAATGCCGGTTTGTAGGTAAGCTTACCAGTCTGTCTTTGTAAAATTGCCAATAATTGGTAAAAAAAGTGAGATGGTAAAGGTACCCACGGGCCGTCGTAAAAACGCCGAGAATTTTTTTTCAGTGCGAGGGTGGCAATGTTGCAGGCAAACAGTGAAATTAGGCACTTAAACAAATGCCTAGGCAATTCGTCAAATTCTGCAGATATACGAAGTTTTCTATGTTTGGCGTAGAGCTCTCAATTGTTCAATGTTTTGAACAAGAAACTTGTTTAAATTGAGAATTTCAGTGGAATTTTATCATTCAATTGGCTTTTGAGAAATTTTAGGATTTGAAATTGAAAATATTTTGTTATTCCCGAAACGTTGCAAATTTCGAAATAAATGCTCAATCGAGGTCTGAAAATCATTGAAACGGCCTTGAAATGGTCCAAAATCCTCCTGAGCATTCTTTTCCACATTTTCAAAGACTTGAATCGTTAAAATTGAGCAATTGATTCGTTTTTTCAATCTAGTAGAGAATATTTGTGAATATAATAGTGCCTTTAATTTCGTATAATACTTTACAACACCTCTGTTGTGAAATAGTGAAGCGCCGTGGCACGTGGCACGCTGCGGCGCGGCCAGCCAGCCAGCACGGAACGCGGATTGGCGCCTACAAACCTAAGGGATACCTCAAGCATTGCGCAATGCGTGAAGTATCTGCTTAGGTTTGTAGGCGCCAGTGCGCGTTTCGTGCTGGCAGCACGTCGCATCACTCCGCTTTATGTTAGGGCCTATTATTTAAACTCGCAGAGTCAGCGTTTTTCAACTCATGATTTTGATACGTTTGCACACTCTGCATGGATTACTTTAATTAAATTGGAAATTGGAATGGATTACTTTAAAAAAAATAAGGAAAATAGGAAATAGGAAAGGAAAATGTAATGTTTGTTTTGTAACTATTAAGGTGTTTCCTCGTATTTAATGATTTTCAAAGCACATTAATTTTTTCTTTTATATTTTGTGCTTTTACTGTGCTGCAGCGTGGTGTGAGCGCAACCAAACGCTCAAAATAGGATGTATTTGACTCTGAAAGATCGACGTACAAATGGGCTAAAACCGAAGATTGCGTGCTTTTCGGTTTTTTCCCTCTTTTAATCATTTGTGCATAGTTTCTTTCGACACAACTACTGCTAATTGACTTTAATATCGATGCCATCGCTTGGAAAAGGTTTTAAAAATATTTGTCCTGTTTTAAAAATGTAAATATTTTTAAAATAAAGTAATATTTTCATTTAAAAAAAAGTATTTATAAGGTTTATTTTTCATCAAAAATTTTAAGGATGGAAATAAAACCAAATATTCATTATTTTGAACATTTCCTTCGATAAAACGTTCATTTTTGAGGAAAGCTATGAATATAGTTCCTTTAAATTTTCAGAATCTTTAGGTGAGATGACAAACGAAATTATCTGAAAAATCGAGAGGAAAATATTTATAAGCTTACCAGGAAATTCGCGTTACATCAAAGGAAATTTGGCAACGCCTGAAGGTTCATACGGCGTTTATCCTTAGCAGGGCAGTTTTGGCCCCTGAGTCCGGAACGGACGGTATGTCTATACATCCCGTAACTTTTTTTCAGTGCAAGGTTCATGGTCTATTTCGGCAGGAAAATGTGTGCCGCACGGACTTCTATTTGCTCATCTCGTTTTTTTGTTCTGCTGCCTCAGGTTCGGTCCTAAATCAGCAGCTTCCTCTACCTCGTGCTCCTCGATCCTGTCGAACAGTTCTCTGAAGAAGACGCGGCGACGGGTGGCGACCCTGGCCCAACGACGAGCCGCCAACATTCGAGAGAGGAGGCGCATGTTCAACCTCAACGAGGCGTTCGACAAGCTCAGACGCAAGGTGCCCACCTTCGCGTACGAGAAGCGGCTGTCCCGGATAGAGACCCTCCGGCTAGCCATCACGTACATCACCTTCATGTCGGAACTCCTCAACGGCACTTGCAAAACTACCGAAAGCGTCAGGGGAACTCCTCCGCTGTATCAAGGCCCCGGGCAGAGGGAGTACATGCCGTACTCGCTCATATCCTAGTCGATCGAATGATCCGATTTCGAGGGCGAATGGACCACTAGACAAGGTACGAATTTCAGCATTCTGATACATGTTTTGAAACTAAAATTTCACGTAGAACACGATGCGCACATAGAAAATTACCGAAATTAACTCCTTACGAAGATATTTGATGATTCTTGATGCGTGAATTCAAACCACCCGATCATTGAAACTCAATGCTCTACGTGATTCACATCGCGCGCTAAACGTTATCATGACAGTCTCTGCGATGTAAACATCTGGCAACCTCAGTCTTGACGCTTTGGCTCAGCTGTAGCAAATTGCTTATAGTTTGAACAACACATGGTGGAAATTGAACATTGCTCGATTGAGAGGCTTGCAGAAACCGTTGTAGTGCGCGATTTGACTCGCGTAGAGCTTTGAGTTTCTTGTGAGCGGGCAGTTCGAATTCCTTGTAGCCAATGTGAAATAAAAACGTTAATATCTTTGTTAGGAGTTGGCTTCAGTAATTCCCGTTGTGTGAATCGTGTTCTACGTGAAATTCTGATTACGAAGCATGTATCAGATTGCTTAAATTCGTACCTTGTCTAGTGGTCCATTAGGCGGACTCTGAGCTTAATTCATTTCTGGACTCATGAAATATTGTTCCCTGCTATAGTTTTTGGCTCTGAATTCATTTCTGGCCTAAAAAAAAGTCGAAATCTTACATTCAAGGAAGGTTTCAGGGGGCTTGGGTCTTCCATAGTAAATACTCTGGCCCCTCTGAAATCTCACTTTAATCTTAGATTTCAATATTTTTGAGGCGACAGATAAAGTCAGCGCTGAAACGATGGGGGGAGTGAGGTTGCCATGTTTCATGATTTTTGGTCTATAATTGTTGCTGAAATTCAAGAGAGAGATGACTTCCCCAAAAATGGGAACCTCAGCTCGAACCGGGGGCACTCGGGACATATATGGCGAAAAACTGCGAGGAGGAAAAAGTTGTAATTGATCTTACAGAACACTTTCACGCAGTCTGGCAGTTAACCCCTGAGGCATCTTGTATGTTCGGGTCCAAAAAAATGTTACAAACATTACAGTCTTCCTGACCGTTTATGATATCAAGACACGAACTCGAGCTCTCTCTCTCCCCCCCTCTCTCCCCCCCTCTCTCCCTCTCTCTATGGGGAAACGCTGAGCTCTGTGAGCCCTCGTTTGTATCACTATTGTCTAGTCACACAATATGTCTTCCATTTTTTACTGTGATTAAAAGATGTTTTAATGTTTGTGTTGATCCGTCTGCTGTCTGGCTTGAAAATTAAGGGAAGAAAATTAGGAAATCGGTTGTTAAAGGTTTTCAAAATAGTGAGGTCAAAGAAACTGCGTTGAAAATTTTGGCCCCACAGTTAAAACGGAATGGAACCTCTCTGGGGCATTGGAGTAATTCTGAGTTGAACTGCGATGTCTCTGATTCGGCTTGAATGGTTTGCTACATATGGACATTGGGTTTTCGAAAAAAAGAGGGGGAAAATTCGCTTCTAACCCAAAATTAAGTTTTTGGCCCTCTTGCAAATTTTTTTAAAAATTCCTTACGCTTGACCGACTATAAGTTTGAAAAGAAAACATATTAATATTTGCCATTTATTATGAAGTTCTTATATCGTTTGTAAGTATTAACGTATAAGAAGAACTCTTAAGTTAAACGTTGAAAATTCTCAAACGTAATTATGAACACCTCACCTCAAAATTTCAACCTGGAACTAGTCTGAAATGGTCAAAAAATCATCATTGATGACATAAACGAGGAGAAATATTCTAATTCCTGCATGGGATTGTACAATTTTTCTCTCAGAGAGAAAAATGCTGCATTGATTAAGAAAACTCATATGTATACCTTCTTCGTCACTTTATCTCTCAACTGACGCATAATTGAAGCTCATATTTACTTACTCAGTTCAAAATTGCTGTCACATATTAATATTTGGAAATTGCTACCCCCAGCAATTAGGCAACACCGAATTCCCTCCATTAAAACCTATCTTAAATAATCGATTCTTGTTGGAGCACCTGGCCCCTCCAAGAATCTATACATTTCCATAGGTTTAAACGGGGAGAAACAACGTTGCCAATTAGCTGGATCCGCCGATGTGAAAAGCGAAATCGTCCTGTAGGACTCCTGGAAATGGGTCGCAAAAAATTGTCAATACGTGTTTTTTAGTTTTTCTAATTTCATTTGTGTTGCCGAAAATCTTAATAAAACTTTTGTTTTTTTTTGTTTAATGAAATGTTGTATCGTACTTACTTTCAAATTTTCTGGACGGACAATGAATGCGAGCAAATATCTACAATAGAGAAAAACTCAATGCCAGACAAGTATGAAAATAAATGAAGAGGAAGACTTCAAATGGGAAACGAAGCGCTCCTTCAACTCGTTGGTTATGTAACCACCGCTACATGGGTGTTCAAATAGTCGTATCACTCATTTCGGTGACTTGCAGTGCAATACTGCCGTGCTAAGGAAGAACGCCGTATGAACATTCGAGAGTTGCCAAATTTCCTTCAATAAAATATCTATTTTTGAGGCAAGTTATGATTAATTTTCCTTCGTATTCTCAGGAACTTTATGTGCAATTATGCGCACAAAATTATCTGAAAAATTGGAAGGAAAACATTTATGTATTTTCCAGGAAATTCATGTTTTATCAACGGAAATTTGGCAACGACTGAAGGTTTATACGGCGTTCTTCCTTAGCATGGCAGCATGACTCTACGCCTCGAACTGCGTAAGACTTTACTCCTGCTTCTTAATTTTTAATTATTCTGCAAAATTTATCAATTTGCGAAATACAACCCTAGCTTTAGCGCCCTTAAACTACGGCCTCGACGGTTGAAACTGCAGTAGCAGCACAGGAAAACCGAGGAACCACGCGGGAAACCTACTTCAATATTAATCTTCCATCTTCTCAGGAAGGCGCAGGGATACAACTATTTGAACTCTCCGAGGTATCACGCCTCAATTGAATGCGTTTTCGAATCTTCTGTATTTACATGACGAGATTTTCCAAATTGTTTTGCAATATATTTTTGATTTGAGTGCCCTTTCTTATTTAGTTAAATTACTCCTGCTTCTTAATTTTTGATTTTTCTGCAAAAATTATCTATTTGTGAAATACAATCCTGGCTTTAGCGCCCTTAAACTACATTTGGAGACGACCCATGTCAAAGAATTTTGGCATGAAATTTCGATTTGAGAGTTTTGAAAATAAAGTAACTGAAAAAAAAAAGTCCACGGAGAACTAGGGATCGATATTCTACAGTCCAAATCGGTTTTTTTTTGCTGCGTCTGCTGCTGTGGTGGACGATTCGAAACAGTGATGCCAGGCGTACGGATTTATCCGTGCCGCGCGGACATTCCCTATACCGACACGGACCGCGTACGGACAAAAACCTTATGGGAAAAACGCTTCCCTATCTTAAAATATCCGTACGCGTGACGTCACAGAATGACGCTCAGCCAATAGTAGCACGGAGAGCGGTATTGCGGATCTCGTACACGGAGCACCCGGGAACACTGATTCGAAACGTGCGCTCAGTCGAAATATGAAACTGCTTACTGTACGGCGCGGCACGTGGCTTTGTTTACGTCTGTATGAATTCGCTCACCAACACGTCCGATCTTGCAAGAGACTCGCAAGCATCTCGCAAGAGTGACGCTGGATGCTAACAGATTATACGTTCGAAAAATCGTTCTTCGGGTTACACGCGTTACAACGCATCGTGCCATCGTACCTACGTTGTTATAATCCTTTTCGGTACCTACACGCAGATTTGGCAAGGAGAATCACTGAAGGAGTTTGTGAAAATGCCGTCGTCAAGATCTGACAGTCTCCCCAGGATTATCAAGAAAAGAAAGACCACCTCCGACCTGGATGATTCTACTTTGATAGAAGCTGCGATCGCAAATCCACACTTGTCTATCCCAAAATTAATGCGCAATTGCGTCCCCGATTATCCTGCGTCCAGATTTGTTGCTTATCATAGGTAAGTAGGATAGAAACTTGATGTATGGGTACAATAAAGGAGAAAAGAATAAAAACTAAACCATTGCCTTCTGTCAGTTCAATAAAAAGCACTGGCTGTCACTCAACTGGTTCAGAAGTAAGTTAAGTATCATCAACTTGAAAACTCTAGTTCTCGAGTAGGTATTGAGCTTGCATCCGTTTGCTTACTCAGGCATGTACGCATGCATGACGGAAATGCTTTAGTGTATGGGCTGCTGCCCTGCTGGGCTGCTAGAAATATCTAATCAGATATCAACGGTGAAATAGCAAAAATGGATATCTCGGTTGTGGTGTGGTGTTTGAAAACAAGATCAAACCAGCATCAAAGCTTGAAGTTTCCCGAGAAATTTCTTCATATACAAACAATATACAACAATATCACAACAACAACGTCCGGTATTCTGTAGAGGTTTTTCGAAGTATTTTCCTCTTACAGCCACTGCAACCAGAGAGGATGGCCTTGGCACGGTTCGTTTCAGAGGGAGGTAAATGAAATTGTGTTGCCTACTCAAAATTCCTTCGGGATCTTGAAGTAGGATGCACACACAGTCATTTAAGCCTAAAATGAAAATATTCTGTCGAGCTCTTCGAAACTAAAATCGATTTTTGTGTTTTTGGCGCTAAAATGGCCTTCAAAGACGATCAATGATTAAATTCCGATGGGTTGTGCATATATAAAATGGTGCATGTGTGATGGACTCTACGTATTTTTGGACCAGGAATCGATTGAGCAGGGTCCTGAATCGGTCCGAAGCTTCATTGACCGAAAAATGGGCCTTTTTTTGGAATTTTAGGGGTGCTTTGGACCCATTTTCCCCCAATTTTGGCGTGAAAAAACCTGTGCCGTCTTGGGTAATAATTATCGGGTCATTTCGGGCGGACCATCGAATGCACATGGTCCCGAGACACTATGGGGCTTCCGGAGTGATACAGGGGATCAAAGTCCCCAATTTTCACTCAATTCTGCAGGTATTTTAATGTTCAATTCCGACTATAAATTGTTTTCTGATTTAGATATCGAAGCGCATTTTGCGGTGGTTGATTCAGCTACGTGTGGTGGATTTTTCTACATATTTCACAAACCCTCACTTTGTTTTTTTTTTGGGGGGGGGGTGTCTTTTTCTGTACAGGGTGTGCACAAGGTGTGGGTACTTGTTAATACCTCGAGAACGGTGGCAGATAATGACTTACGGTTTGGATGAAATTTCCTTGAATTAAAGTAGGTACATTTTTGTAGGAATTTTGAGTGGGCAACACAATTTCATTTACCTCCCTCTGAAACGAACCGTGTTGGGTCATAAAAGAAAAATATCATTCGGAATGGTAACTTGTGTTTGAATCCCTTCAAAAATATGCTATCATATACGCTTCCCTATCATATATGCTGAAAGAAAATAATTAATTCTCAACAGAATGCAATCATTGAAAAAAGGAAAGAAAAAAATAACAATTGGTTTCCTGATCAATTATGAAAATTCAAAAGTGAGAAGAATTAATTGGATTATGTTCAATTCACTGAGTAATTATGAAAATATTCTTTTTTCACAGAATCCGTCAACACGGACTGCAGTGGCGAAGGAAGTCTAGGAACATAGACCGGTAAGGAAGGACTACTAACTATCTATCACTTATGTGTTGTCAATATACATATACCAGCTGCTTTTATAGCGTAACTTAGCGCACCTCAGAGATCGGTGAATTTCACCTAATTTTGACAACATTCTTGTCGCATATCGATGGAGAAACTACAAAAGAGCATGCTTCGGTTGTTATGTTTCAACATCTCTGCTCCTATTTATTTTCTTAGAAGGAGACTGCACCACCATTATGACTTGAAATTTTCACAGAATATTCGTCACACAGAATGGAAAAATCACAGAAGTTTTAAAAAAATGATGTTTAATAGTTGTTGATGTGGTCCTTGTAAAATGGACGGATTTGTTCTTGTTTACAGACACCATCATTTATGTGCAACTGTGTTTTGATTTTTCTAGTCTAGAAAGTGTTCAAGTTAATAGTATGTCATCACTGTGATAAACTATGTGTACCCACAGTCAAGCAGTTTTAATCAAGATTTCTATTTTTTATGATTGATTTCAACACCCCAGAAATAACCGATTGTATAATTATTCTTTTTTAGGAGCAACCAGGATTCTGAAACAACGCCAAAATCTTGTAATGCCTCTTCTGACAATTCACTCTCATGGTCTCCTTGTCGTTCTTCAACACCAATATCGAATCACCATCGCTCATCTCACGGTCACTGCAACTTATCAAAGTCACTCAAAGCCTCCAGTAAGACCGGAAGATCAAAGTCACTCAAAGCCTCCAGTAGGACTGGAAGATGGAAACTATTGAGGAAATTTATNAATTATTATGAAAACCAGTGATTTTTACGTGTGTAGCACTAATTCCTCACTACGCAAAAACCTCAATTTAATAGTATTAAACTAAAACGAAGTCTCCAAAGTTTAGAAAACTTTTAAGGCAGCATTAATTCCACCTCATAACTCAAGAATTGCCAAGTTTCATCTTTTGTATCATCTTTAATCTCACATTTTTGAGTGTCGGTTACGCTGTGTCTGTTACGTAACCGACACAATTTGGCAGGGCCGCCATGTTTGCGTGGACCTCCAGCAGTCCCGCGGAGAGCGCTGATACCTGATTCAATGGCTTGTTTATCAATCACTTTAACTTTGCACTGACTCAAAATAGAGCGTGCCAAAGCTGGAAAAAGGAAGTTTAATACCTTTAGAATGAGGTAATGAAATCCTGTTAAAATTGGTGCACTTTTATTTCTCAGGTATTTCACATTTTAACTATTCCTGTTATCGTGAAATCACCCATAAGAACCTGGGAGAACCAATTATTGTATTTCAGCCAAGTACTGACTTTAGAATGAACACTGTCTAATGCTTGAATAAGCAAGACATATTGTGAACCGTAGCCTAAATCTGATACTTGCATAAATTGTGTTTAGATAGAGATAATATCTTGAGAAAATATATCAAACTAGCTCAACAACCACCAAAAATTCAACTTTCTACAAATGAGTGTTGAAAGGTTGGAGCAAAAATTCAATTTAAAAACCATTCTCCGCAGTTCTACAACTTTTTTTTAAACGTAATCCAATAAAGTCAGAGCTCCTAAAATTTAACTGTATCAGTGACTTTTTGAGAAATCAGGCTTTTAAAAAGCCTTTTTCAGTCTGATGAAAGCTAACGAAAAAAAGGCAACGGCTAATCGCATTAATAGGAGACAATAAAAGATGAAGGATGCAGAATTGTGAGAGGTAACGAATCTGTTTATTAAACAAACAACATAAACAGATAATTAACAAAGTGATCCAATCAGTATGAGAGAGAACCTTGTTTTAACACAGTTTAACTCTGCATCAGAACTCAGTGAGGTGGATGTCCCCTGAAAGATTCCTTATGCTAGGACGGGGGTAAAAAATTAAAACCACTTCCTTCCCATAAAAGCTCTCTCGTGAAATTACTAAGATGCCTCAGAAGTAATGTCAAAAGATTCTGTCGTGCAGGACACGATGATACCATATTCGCTAGCAATAGACTGTTCCAGCAACATATCACGTTTAAGTATTTTAATTTCAAGCAATTTATTTGATTCAAGTAGTTATAAGTTATTCCATTTTCTAATTGGTTCATTTTATTTTGCATTTGAATAGAAAGATGTTTGATGGATTTTTAAGAGAAAAAACTATTCAAGATCTCTCTCTGCACTCCATTTGCCTACATCTACTGTTGCCATCAATGAGAAAAGGCCGAGAGGCTTTTTTTAAAAAAGGAAAAAAAAAGGTCTTAATGTGATACCAAAAGAAGCTGATTATTCCCTAAGCAATTAGTTGGCTTTTTGAGTCCGAGATTCAAAAACCATTTTTCCATCAAATTCTGTGGGTTTACGAATCCCTGGTTCAGAGAGTCCAGATGATATATTACAGCTATCGTCCTGGGTCCCATAGCAACGATTCAAGTTTCAACAGTCTCGGGCTTTCCAGCTTGTCTTAAATGCTAAAATTGTTTAAAAACGTGGTGTGCTACGTAACAACATGGAATTTGTAGCAGTTTTGAAGTAATGAAATGAGCTGGGTCCAGAAAGTCGAAGCCCTTGTTGAACTCTAATGTGTCCTCTCATCAAACTAGTTTTGGCTGAGTTAAATCTTGTCTGTCCAACTAGTTTCATCAAAATTTAACCAATGTTTTGGCACCTGGACCAAGTCTAACAGGATATAAAGACTGCACCTTTCAGAAATTTCAGTTCCCTTTGAAAGAGCATTGAGACTTTAAGAAGCTTAAGCGATGTAAGGCTTACCAAAATATCTAAATAAAAACAGTAGTAGAAGTGCTTTGGACTCATCGTTTCAAAACTTCGATGAAGGTTTCGCGATGCAACTGAATATTTCCTACCATCTTTAATTTCTTCTTGCCCTCAGCTTGCTGCCTCAATTTCTTATATTTCCTCGTCAAATCACCACCATACTGAAAAAGGGAAAAATCAATTACTAACAATGATCTTTCTCAAACCAGGTGACCAGAGGCTATAAAATAAACTCATTAGACTTAGGGATCGTTCACAAAATACACGGTGCAACGTTTTGTATTTTCCGACCATCCTCCCCCTCGTAATACTTTTGTGACGTGAGACTCTATCCTTTAGTACGTAAAACCGAAATGGCGTAACACTCTCCTCGCCCCCTTCCCCTCTTCGGAGCATTACATATTTTCTAAACAGCCCTTCATGAGGGGAAGATCTAAATTAAAAATAAGGATAGAGATCTCAAAGCCAAAACCTATGAAACGCTGCTACAGGTATCAATGAATAAAGGAGTGTGTTGATCATTTTGATAATAGAAACACCTGAAAATACTGAGAAAATAACTTAGACATGTTCAGTGCAATATAGTAGACTCAAAACGGTCAGATTACACCACAAATCAGTGCCCTCAATTGGCGCAACTAAATTGCTCATTATTCTTTCAGATACAAGAGTACCTCTTTCATTGACGACTCAAATTCAGATTTTTTACTCCAACTTTACAAGCAGCCCTTTCCTAAACATTCAATTCTGGGTTCAAAAGTCTGAGTGTGGACAGTCACATCACTGAGGCCAAAGCATGAGTGGGAGAAAAAAAAGCCTCAAAATTTTTGGGAAAGATTAGCTCATAATACTGATGTTAACGCATCATTTGATGCAGAAAATGAATGACATTCTAAAAAATTTAATTTGCTAGAAATAGAATACAAAATTGTGAAATTTTCAAAACTCATTAACGCCTTTACCTTTTAAACGAACATATGTTTTGATGGACTCCTGTCTATCTCCTTCAGCAAGCTGTGATTTGCGACTCTAGCAGTCGCAGCTCACCAAAGAGGATAGGCAGGATTCTGTCAAAACAAACGTCGGTTTCAAATAAGGTGAGCGAATTAATAAATTTGAAAATTTTGTGAATTAATATTTAATTTTAACAATATTTTTTGCTTAACAATCAATCCTCTTCAACATTATTAGTGTGGCTCTCTTTGATTTATCGATCTAAAAAAGAATAGCGTATTTTCTTTTATCTGAATACTTCTCAATGTCTTCTATTATAGTCAAAAGTTACTGATCTCCTTTTTGATGCTTTATAGCCTCAGTAATGTTTTAGGTGAAGAGTGCAAGCTTTTATTTGAAAATGTTTATCAGTCATTTAATTAAATCTCTTCTTTTTCAAAGCTCTTTAATGATAAAAAAATTACGACTTCTGGTATAAAATCCTGCTGAACCCTTCTCTAACACATATGCGTTAAAACTTTCCAATTGTATTTTATTTATAAAATTAGCTTGCAAAGTTTGGACAGTGCCTGATGAGACATTTCTCCCTCCACTGAAGTCATCAACTTCTTCCGCATGTTCCAAAACTTTTCATAATGGCAATCAGTTATGGACTCAAATTTTGTTGGCTCGGGGTTGACTGCAAATTGAGAAGACATAAAATTAAATCTCAAGCAGAAAGCAAGTCAGCAGAAAGCTAATATGTAATTGATTAATGAGTGGCTCCAGTCTGCCATGATCTATGCTTCCCTGCTCAATAAGATTCAGGCCTTAGACAAACCTAGGGGAAAAACAAAACAGCATGGAAAAAATTCCTGACACTAAAAACTCCCAAAAAATACCCTTTCAAACTGTCCGAACATTGCTAACTTTGGTAGATGAAAAATAAAATAATACTAACCAGTTTTGCAGTGACATCTTTCCTGTATGGTTTTATATCACCTCGGGATAAGACCTTTGCTCCCACTACAGCTTGAACAGCGATCTGTCAAAAAAGAATAGTTGAGAGAATTAACAAGCTTTCAACTGCGTTTAGACACTTAACTTGTTAAAACCACCATCAAGAGGGTTTTGAGACACACCTACTCTTAAAAATAAACGGTAACATTCAAACCGATATCTATTAGAGCTCTTTCCTGAACACCACAGAGTTTTCTTTTCATCATGGCAATGTGTTTTCATGAAAATTTCAAGTATTTTCAAGCAGTAAAATTTCAATCCGCTAAAGATATCAAAAACTTTCATAATGAACTATTAAGTTAGAAATAATCTTTCGTAATTTACATTAGAGAGAGTGAATTTAAACTTTCCACCTGGGAAAAAAACATCTACGCAGGTCATGATGGGCATTGAAATCAATCTAAACATTGGGCAGGTTAGGTTAGGCTACACGTTGGGCAGATAACTAGAGCTTGGTTTCATGCACATTTTCCTCCTTTTATAAAAAAAGGTATCTGTAATTTTGTCCAAAAATAAGTTACTACACAGGAGACTTCTTCCATGGTAAAATACAGTGAAATTACATTAGTGTTCCATTTGACACAAGACGACTCCAGTTTTTTTTTGAGCCGGAAATGACAAAAGCTGGAGCCGGAAAAGACAAGAACCATTATTTCCCCTCGATGAATTCAGTCTAGAGAGTTCTGATACATCTATTATATCGCTGGTCCAAGTGCAAAACCTTGTATCTCCAAAGCAGTATTACGGAATATTCACTTCTAATTTATTTTTTTGATGAAAAACAAACCAACATTACAGCTTAAAATTCCGACAGAATATTCCGCCCGCAGAACGGAAAAATTGAAGCATTTTTCGAGAAACTGCACTGACTAATGTTCCAAAGATACAACGAAGTATGACAGAAAGTCTGCAACATTGCGAGCAGAGGTACGTGGTTTTGCACGTTGGCCATCGATATTCTAGGTAAAATTTTGACAAATATTACTTAATGTGGTGCCAAAGTTGGTCCCCTGTTTTGTGGTCCATTTTCCACAATGATTGTTGACTGATCATAAGAAAGAACTTGGATCGATCTTCTGGAATTTGAAGTTTACCGGTGCTCTGTGTCTAGATACAGCTATCGTGTTTTCATTCATTGGCCGATTCAGCATCCGAGTAATTTGCAGTAATGAAAGAATTCACTTACATGAAATTGCTGCCGAGGAACTATTTCTACTAATTTGTCAACAAGTCTTTTGGCCTCGTCCTTTACTTTAGAAACATGGACAATCATGCTCAGTTCCTCGATTTTCTTTTGATTTAAAAGAATATCTACCTAAAGAGAAAAAGCGGTGATTGATTAGAAAACAGAATTAAAGAGGTTCATTTTTTAGTACAGGGCATAATAAGTCAGCACATTTCTTGTTTTGAAATGTTGGATTTGACTGGTTTTCTTGTTTGAAATAATCCTGAGAATTGAAAGTTTTCAGATTGCGTAAGTATCTTGTTAGTGAGAATCACCTGTCATTGAAATGTTTTTCTTTTACTCAGAGCATTGCTAAAGTATTAAGACTGATTTAACGTAGGACATGAAAAATAAAATCTTTAGCTACTCCTTACGTTTCACTGACTCTTTTCTAATAAATAAAAGTGAACTCTCAAGTCAATGGTGATCTGATGATACAATGCTTAGCATTGAATATTTAAATACTAAATTTTAAAACAAGAAATGCCTTTCATATGGACTCACTTAAATTTTCATTTAAGTATTCGAATATGAAAATAGTGACATGCATTGACCAGCATTAATATTAGTTTCTAGATCTAAATGTCTAAAACTTTTAAATGGCATGATAGTTAAAGTGACATTCGCTCCCCTGAAATTCCTACTATATGCAGATGTCTGTATTGGAGTGCCTTGAGACTGTTAAAGTTTATCTGCTACTTTTAGATAATATTAGTTGTTAAAATCAAAGGATAAAATAGGGCAGCTGAAATAAGACTTTTTTTCTCTTTCTTTTTTAAAAAAAACTCGTGTGACTAAGGTATTTATCATTACATGCAAGGTTATGATTCCAGCAGAAAGACGCTAAAATGGGCCCCTTCCCTGCATTCAGTATCTATCGTAAAATTCAAAACCCTAAACTATTGGACAAAATCTACATTAAAACTCGCAACAACTAATGCCCTTTCGAAATGTCACTCTTAAAACTATGCATTCAAGGGGTATTTTGTTGACTAACTGTAAGAAGAGAATTCAGAGGAGCATTTTCTTACATTCTGATGAATCTAAAGGTCTTCTATGGATGAATAATTTAAAATTCATGAACGCTGCATGATGCATGTAAATGATTAAAATGCGGAGTTATAAGAAGCAGTTACTACACTATTCTCTGTCAACCAGAAAAACAGCATACAAATCAGAAAGTTTAAACTAATCTTAAGGATGAGTTATGTGAAATAAAGCACAAGAACTACTCAAAAAAGTTGAACCTCCTTCAACATTTCCGATCAAGAGTTGGCCCGTTTAAAATTCATACACCGCAAAATGGGACACCGTTCATACACCGTTAGAGTTTTGGGAGAAAATTGTTCAGCATTTCAATCTAGCATGTTCAAAGATTATAATCGTTAGGTTTTCAACTATGAAAATGCAGCTCTACTTTCTCTGTTGGCAAAAAAAAATTAACCAAACTGTTTCTGACTATTTCTCTGGGATACTGGAAAGTGTTTTCAATCAGAAACTCAAATGCCAATTTTTCAATTAATCTTGGCAAAGATCACTCCAAAAAAATTTGCCTCTGCCCACGGACGTTTGTTTGCCTGTGGGAAAATGGGATGAAACTTAGAAAATTGTTCAAGTTATTTTAAAAAAAAGCATTAGTTTTTTGGTTTGAAACAGATCTTGAACTTAATTTTTTAAGAAATTGTAAGTAATTCTCAATGGCTGGAGATTAAGAAGAAAAAAAGAGACGAATACACGTACCTTTGTCACGTCAGTTACTTCATAACCATGGTCCTCATAGTCAAAACTAGCAAATCCAGAGGAAACTGATTTTATGGCATCATGAAAATCTACAATGATTTCATTTAGAGGTAGGATGAATTTGCACATCATTTGAGTCTTGTCAATCATTGACGATTCCTGTTCAACTCCTCTTCGTTCTATGCATAATTTCGCTACTTGGTTGTAATATTGTTCTGCAAATTAAGAGAAAGCCAACAGATCATGATTATTTAGAAGCACAAAAATAAGCACAGAATAGTTTTGTGCGCTGATATTTTGGTCATGGTATTTGCTCCAGGACCCAGTTTATTCTGCTATTCATCTTTCTTCAAACACCATTTAAATTAGGTATTAAAGAATAAAAATAAAAAGATAGGGAAAGAAGTAAACATTTAGGTGATTATTTCTTGGAAAAAAAAGTTGTCTTACTACATGCAGGAATACGACTAACTTTTTAAATAAAAAGCACAACTGACCAACTATTAGAATATATGAAAAAAAAAAGGAATTAAGTATATTGAGTGCTGCTGGACAATGTCTGAACCAAGAAAAAAAAAAGTTACTGTTCCTCTTCAAAATCTTACACAGAAAACGATTTAAACAACTGGAAGTTCAAAAACCAACTCCTGGACGAGATATTAAAAATTATTGTTTAACACAAATCAAATGGAAGTTAGATTATTACAAATGACATCAGTTGTACTTTTGTCATTCAACAAATTTTGATTTTGAACAAATATATCTTGTTTAGGAGTTGATTTTAGACTTTCTGTGGTGTGATTTGCTTTCCTTGTGAAATTTTGAAGAGGAATCACATAGCTTAGAGCTTCCAATCACACCCTGCCTAAAGCCGACCTGATCTGTAGAAAATTCAACAAATATTAATCGAAGACAAATATGAGCTCGTAGACGATCTGCTACAAGTAAATGATAAAAAACTTTATATTTGGAATAAAAAATAAGAGAGGATTTTACCAGGAAGAAGAAGTGTGCCAAGGACCATCGGCTCTTGAACCTCTACAATATACTGCTGTTCAGGCCAATGTGCTGGATTTGAAATTTCCAAAAGTTCTTTACCATGTAACCTGACAATTTTTTCACCTTTAATACGGACTGTAACACCCAAAAACTAACATAAAATTTTAAATTTAAAAAAGTTCCTTGCAAAATTTCCTCATAGCATAAAATACGGAAAACCATAAGAAAATTTGCAAATTATCTCTCAGATACGAGAAGTAATTTAGACAAAAAAAAAAATTCTTCTTGTAAGAAAGGGAAATTTCTTTAAGGTTGAAACCAAATTATTAAGAAAAAAGCCAAGGAATCTTTATTTTACACCATTTTAAGGAGAGGAAAAAATTTTTTGCAAATAACTGAAGCCTCCATACAATGAAGAAGGTGATTTGACATTTTTTAAAGAAACTGATGCACCGGTAGAGTCCATGCCAAGTAAGTTTAAATTGTTTTATACTACTACCACGCCAACACGTCAGTATGAACATTTAAGAGTTGCCAAATAAAATGTTCATTTCTAAGGGTACTGATGGGATCTGATTCTGAATAAAATTCTCTGAAAATTGGAGGAAAAATATAGGGTTCATACAGCATTTTTTCTTAGCACCGCAGACTACGATAAAGGATACTTCCACTTGAGTTTTGCTTACCATTGGTATCAAATACAAGAATCAGGGTTAAGGATTTTTTGTCGCACTTAAAAAACCGTTCCGACTAATCTGGTGTGGACTAGAATCTCTAACAAAACTTGTTTTGAAGTAAACTTTGCAAAAAAATTGATCTTAAAACCAAATTTTCAACTATGTAATATCAGTTAAATCTTTGAAGGGGTTGGTCTCCTGCAGTGTAGTGATTGTAGTGCAGGTCTTATGATCAGAAGGGTTCTATTCCCCATTAAGTGACCTGAGTTTAATGATCTCAGGCAAAGGTCACATGGAATTCGGTGTAAAATGGTTGGGGTACTAAGAATTTATAAGAAAAATCTATTTTATTCATTTCATTTACAAGGGTTCCCATTCTCAATGATTTTCCTTGATGCACAAAAAATATTCTGCAGAAAATTTATAAAAATATATTGTATTTTTCCTCTTTGAACAAAAAAGCAGACACCTAGGTTTTGTGAGTATTACGATGGAGTTACTTGTTAAAATGATCAAAATAGCAATCATGGTATTTTGATCATTATAATACACGGTACTACTCAACCAAGAATGTTTGAGTTACATGCTGTTGAACCATATTTAAAAATATAAAAAAGGGAGTTTATCTTTATGCTCCATGAGTAGAAACGTCTGGAAAGAGCTCTTTCAGCCAACTGACAAACTAAACTAATAAACTACCACCAGACTATTTTCAGAGAGAGAGAGAGAGAGAAGAAGGTTACCATGAAACGATTTCTCACCTTTATATGTTACACCTGGAGCAGTCATTATACTTGTTGCGTCATATTCTTGCTCCAGGCGTTGTGAAAAAACTTCCAAGTGAAGTAAACCTAAAAAGCCAAGTCTCCATCCAGCACCTAAGGCAGCGCTGAAAAATAATTATTAATTAGGAGAAAAAACAAATCATGACTAAAAATAATAGGACATAAAACTATTTTTAAGATGTAAAATTTACCAATTAATTTTTCACGATTGTGACATTGTGAAAATAAGCACATTAGACGCCTCAATATTCTTTATAAAAATTCACTCTTTCTGAAACAAGTCTCTATAGGCTGCTCTCTGTTGTTTCTTTCACATGAGGAAAGCAGGGCAATTTATGAGAGGACTTATTAAAAATGTGTCTAGCTTAAAGGTGATGGGAGAATTAATGAAAATTGATTGTAAGATGTTTAAAAAACTAATAATTTTTACCTGGTATCGGGAATAACAGTTACAGCAGGATCGTTCAAAGCTAATTTCTCGAGCGCTTTTTTCATTGCTATATGTTCTGATTGATCCATAGGGTAAACGCCTGCAAAAACAATAGGGCGAGGTGGTCTAAAACCTGGTAGCGGTTCCACAGGCGCACTTTTTAAATATACTGTATCGCCAATTTTAGCCTCAGCAGTTGAGCGCATGTTGCACATCATGTATCCAACATGACCTCCAGATCTAGAACAATGAAGTTTTTGAGAATTGATTGGTCATTGCATATGTCATGAAAAACTGACGTATGGAATGAATTAAGTTTGATTGGTTTGTCTGATGCCAAGAAAAGTGATGGGAAGTGGTTAGGTATAGAACCGACTCCATCCATAATTTTAGCGTTGGAATGCTGGAATATTTGCTGATTCAAATTTTTCAGGCTTGCAAGGGCCAATTAGCACTCAAACAAAGCTATTGTTATCTGATGAGCAAAAACTCACTATAAATAATAATTTCACATAAAAAACAGCGGTAGCATAAATCTGGCTTCAGTTATTCACTCCAAGACCTACTACAACTTTCAATTGTTGATAACAACAGGATAGAACCATAAACATACAATAGGATGTAACAAGGTGGAGAAATGGTGCTGGGTCCACACCATTTCGCGGGGAAACAAACAATACAATAGGATGTAGAGCCAACTACAGTTCTTTAGATGAAACGATAAGTAGGCAACCTGGAATACATGCAGTATCAGAAAATTCAAGGAATCAATAGCACTACAGCAGGTGGGGCAGATTTGAGGCATGCATACAATTTACGTGCGGTTGTTGGTATTACAATGAAACATATGACATATCGACAGTGAAACTACCAGACCATGTATCTCGGTTTGCAGCATTGTAGACTTCCTGTCACACTTTATTTTTTAAATGGAGAACTACTCAACTTCAATTCTTGAAAACTTCCGTATTTTTTCCTCCTTGTGCAAAGAAAACTCTGTAAAAATTTCAATGAATGATTTTGATTTGTGCTCCTTCAAAAAAAGAAAATGGGAGCGGAAATTTTTAAACATTGCAAACAAGATACGTTGTCTGATAGTTTCACTGTCGATATTTTCATTTGAAAGGTTGTTGAAGCTGTTTCAACCTTCACTTAAAAAGCTTCATTTTTACAACTTGTTTAGAAAGGGTTAGTTTTTCCCGGCAAAATTTCATATGTGCAAAAAATTTCAAAAAACATGGAACAGGTTTTGTACAAAGACAATTTGATCAACAAAATTAACTTTTGTTCACTCGCACAGCTTTAAAGCTGATAATAGTTGCTTGACACATCCTAAAGGCATCTGATCTGAATTTAAACCAGTACAAGTGAGTATAAATTAATTTTACTGACAAAGAATTTGCACTTTAATCACAATAATTGGGGGGCTTGGAGGACAAGGCGCATACGTGTAGTTTTTGTTATCTCAAGGAATACATGTTTGAAGTTTTGAAATTACATGGATCCTCATGGCGGATAGAAAGTTCAAACTGACTTTAGGATGCGTAAAAATTGAAATTTGAGAGGGAATTTTCACGGAATATGCATTAGGAATAATTATACTTGAAATCATTAATATCTCAATCCTTTCAAAAACTGCACTTATGCGCCTTGTCCTCCAGGCTCCTCAATTTCAACAATAAATTCCTGTTAGATGGTTTCCATGAGCATTCCTGCTGTATCTTTGGCAATACCGTTCGGTAGCATCAATTTCAGAATTATTTGGGCGGTTCATCAAATTGAAAGAGTTAAACTTACAATGTTTCAACTTCTTCTTCATGAGGTCGCAAGATTCCAACTGATTTAACAATGTATGGTTTTCCAGAATGAGCCGTTACTACAGTATCACCTTTCTTTAGAGATCCATCTTTGATTGAAAGAAGAGAGACGGCACCTTGATATTTATTATACCAACTATCAAAGATTAAGGCCTTCAGTGGGCTTTCTGGATTAGACTGAGGAGCTGGTATTCTTTCGATGATGGCTTTCAACACCTCATCACAGCCAGTTCCTAATTTTGCGGAAATCTGGAAAAGAGAGAATAATCAATAATAAATAAGGGGCCAGAGAGTGATTCTCATCGCACAATTAAATTACACCCGAGTTGCTTACGTTTTCTCTTCAAAAATAAAATAAAAATTTTGTGGTTGGGCTGATTCTGGCTAATGCCATTTACTTATACTTCAATTTCTATAATTCTTTTTGGTACAAAAGAAAAATAAGAGAGAAACAGGTTTCTCAGTTTGTAAGTGTTGCTTTTTGCAGAGTCTACCTCTTAGTAGATGATGGCCACATGAACGTTATCAACTGTAATTTGAAAGGCATGATTGAACCTGTGTCTGAAGACTCAAATTTTTAAAACATCTAAAATATGGTTCTGTTAAGGGACAGTGAAGGACAAGCGTAAGGATAAGGTGAAAAAATGAAAGAACACAGAAGATATTTACCTTTAGCACCGTTTCCGGATCTACATCAAAGAGTGAGCCGAGTTGTTTTATAACTGCCTCAGGTTGCGCGGTTTTCAAATCTACTTTATTTAATACAGGAATTATTACAAGCTCTTGGAAAAGAGCTAAATAAAAGTTTGCTACAGTCTGAGCTTGAATACCTTGATTGGCATCGATTAATAATATAACCCCTTGGCAAGCAGCCAAAGACCGAGACACTTCATTTGCAAAGTCCACATGACCTGGGGTATCGATCAAATTTAACAAATACTCCTCGCCTTTGTAATTGTAAAATATTGAGACAGTTTGAGCCTTCACAGTGATACCCCTCTCCTTTTCAACCTGTAACCTGGAAGATATGAAAAAGCACAATCGTCAAAACAGGTTGAAAAATTAAAATATTAGCAAATAAAAAAAGGAACATGGTTTCTCTTCCTTCAGTGATCATCAATTTGATAATGCATCTGGTGAGTTCATCATATTGTTTACCCTGGAATTAAAGAGTTTCAATTTTTTGTTGCAATTATATTGCAGAAGCAAATTAAAATTTATCAATATGAATTTATTTATATGAATTTTCTTATGGCATGAGTGCTGTCAATACAGAGGCGTTAAACAGAATCCCTTAATATCTCAGCACATTCAACGATGCTCCATGTTGAAGTTGGATGCAAAAAATTCTACGAACTCACAAAATTACTGATTTTATGATGTTCCTTGAAGAGATTTTGTTTTTTCTAAACAGAGATTTCATACATTTGTGATATTTTGTTGATTCTTAGGAATTCAACAATGATCAAGTAGGTACAAAAATTGGATAGAGATAAAAATGGAGTATGCTGAAAAAGGTTTGTATATTTATGAGCATAGTTCTTATAGAACACCAAAAATTTAATTTTGCGTTTGTTGACGTTAGGATCCTTTCTCCCGGGTCATGGATGGGCTTCCTTTTGCAATGAGGAATTGCTGATTTTGGCTTATCCATAAAATCACCTATCTACATGCGGAAACTAGTGCTCTTTTGCAAATAATCCCAGAACAATAAATATTATGATAACATAAAATGTAGTCAAGATATGATGCGAGAACAATTTTTAGGGTGAAGCCTTACCTGTCAAGTACTTGCTGTTTACCTGCTTCTGGACGCAGGGTATCGGTGATTTCAAGCAATCTGTCCGCCAAAGTGCTCTTCCCATGATCGACGTGAGCAATTATACTAAAATTACGAATACGTGATATGGGGATGCTTTTCAGTTTTTCAGAAATTTTATTACTACCTTCCTCATTTTGATCACTTCCTGGTTTTGCGGAAAAGCTCTGAGATCTGAGAATGAATAAAAAAGACTATTTTAAATTCTATCAAAGAGAAGAAAAAAGCATTTTTGGAGGTATTCAGGATCAGTTAAGGAATACCGAGTGTTTAAGAATCACACAAAATTCTGAATTGAAAACATTTAATGAAGGGTTATAGTTCAACCACTACACCACAGGAGGCCAACATTTACCAACATTTGATTCAATTATTTATGCAGTTTGATATCGTCATTAGCCTGCAGTTTGCGAAGATACAGCTTCAGCTCATGTTGTTTGGAAGATTTCGTTCCAAGTGTTGAAAAATTGAAAGTGACGTTACATTCAAATTTCCGTTCAATTTTTCATCAAATTCTCGTTTTCTCTTGTCAGTATTACACTATCCAACTTTTCATTCGACAAGTTGCATCCAAGAGTTGGATGAAAAGTTTGATAGTGGGAATTGGGCTTTACTGCTCTTTTAACTCAGATAATTTTTTACTGATTGCTTCCCGATGCATGCAAAAATTCAATTCCGCTTCCGATAAAAACTCAATTGCTCCTTCAAATTGAGATTAATGGGCCAGATGGCTCCTAAAATAAAAGGCAAGTTTAAAACATTGCTTCCATTATGTTTGTTGGCGAGGGTTATAAATTAGTGTGTCCTCTTTCTTGAGTGTCACATTTTCAAAATGTGCTCACTAGTATTTCTTAAAAGAAAGAATGAGCAAGCGTGTTGCAAACACACTCTGATAAATTCCGATACTTGATAAAAGAGTTTATTCATGGGAGATGATATTCTGTAATAACTTAATTGACTGTCAATTGTAATGATTGATGAAACTGATCTGCATAGCTCCGTGACTTATGAAGGCTTGGGATCAGCAAATTAAAACCTGTCCAAATCTATTGATGCTAGCAAAGATACGATTCTTGAGCATAAAAAATGGGATGAAGTATCATGAAATGAAGGTATCATATTTTGCAGTATAAAAATTTCGCGATGAATCAAACCAATTCTGAAAAATCTTACTTCGAAATGGACCTGGAAAGAAACGATGAACTAAAAAGAAGGTGATCCCGGTGCTTGCTGAGTTTGGATGGATACGTCTGGAACACTTTTAGACGGTAGATCATGATAATTTATAATAATGATATTAAAAAACATTACACACAGATTGAAAACTGATCTAGAATTGTTTAAAATTCAGAATAAAAAAATATGCAAAAAATTGAGCACGTTTGAATTTGAGGTTATGTTTACAAAAACATTTTGGGGTAACAGCAGTGTGACCAACAACTCCAAAACTTTCCGAATTATAGGATTGCATTTTAATCGTTGAAATCGCAAGATATTTGTTGCAGTGAGAACACTAGAATGCTAAGTAAACTTGAAATCGATTTTTTTTTCGTTTTATTTATTTCTAGTATTATTACCTAGAAATTATGAACATGAAATATTATATGACTAGATTGAGTGACCAACTTTTCCTGCTCCTGTTCCGTAGTCGCTCACATTGCCTGAACTCGTAATTGAAGGCGCATTGGTTTAGGATAAACGCGATAAATTTTGAATAGAGAAATATGTTCATGAGACTGCTGTAAAAACCTAATGAACGTAAAACTGCTAAAAACACCCATAAGCCTCCAAGCCACTCGTAATATCGAGCTGAGGGGTCATATTTACTTCTGTGGATATTTTGACTGAACAGAGAGGGGACTCTCTCATACTGTAGGGATCCCCTTCATCACGGATTCACGGCCTTAACTTTGAGAGCTTTTTTTAAATGTACAGGTTCATTTCAAAGAAAACAAGAGTTCATGTTCCTCGTGCTCTCGTGATATTTTCATATTCCAGTAGGTACTTTCAAAACATTAAAACATGATCGAAAGTTTTCACACGTTACAATGAAAATCAACATTTATCAGCTTTGCCCTAAGTCTCTTTGGGATCATTCTTTTTCCTGATTTGAAAAAAATTCTCGAATGAATAAGTAGTCGTAATACAATGACGCTCGTGTAGCTCTTAATGCTACAATTGAGGCATTTTTTGGCAAAAGGTCGTATGAGACTTCCAATGCTACCATGATTGTGCAACGTAGTTCTCTAGTCGTTGTACTTAAGTAACTTCTCCAACATTTCTACTATGAATTTTGCCCTGAATCTGATCCGAGTTTTTCCTCACTTTTGTGAGAAAGTAAGTCAATTGTGAATAAATTTCATTTGCCGCAAACGCTATAAAAAAATAGCACAATCTTAACAACATTGCAAGCCGCATACGCCCTTTTACCGAAAGGCAGGGGCGTAGCTAGGAAATTTTTCTGGGGGGGCATGGGACCACCTCTCGTGGTGAAGAGAGCGGGGGGTGGGTGAGGAATGGAGGATCCCGTTTTTCTGGGGGGGGCCACGAGATTTCTGGGGGGCAGGCCCCCCCCAGGACCCCCCCAGCTACGCCTATGCCGAAAGGTGCCTCAGTTATAAAAACAAATATTGCATGTTAAACTGTTTAAAATGAGTGAGAAATACTACCTATTCATCAAGTACGTAAGCCCACCAATTATTTGACAAAAACAAATGGAGGCAGGCAGCTAGCAGCGAGCAACTATAATTGCTCCTAAGCAGCTCACATTGCCTAGTTAGAATATTGAAGGCGTTCTGGTGGAAATGTGCGCAACTCATAATGACTAAAGTACTGTAAATCCGTTAAAGTCACGCTTAAAATAACTAAACGTGACCAAAATTCTGTATAAGTAATAAACTTTCACTTACTGCTCCGAGGTCACTCAAATCTCAAAATGGAGTTCCAATAATTTTGCAAGATTTTCAATTTTCATTCACTTGGACGCAGATAATTCTGAGCTTTGGCTCATGAGAAAAATAAAGAGCAGGGCCGGATTTACCTACTTGCCGCCCATGGGCCGCCTTTATTTTGCCGCCCCTTCTCATTCGTTTTGAAACACCGATACGAACCATCAAGTGAACGTGCCGGAGGAAGAGGGGTGCATAAGACGCATTTATTCGCGGTGGGCACATTTTTGGTGAAATCCCTGTCAACACCAGCAAAAGTTCACGGAACTTCGCGCGAAAATTAAGTTCCGTAAACCTATCTCTGTGTGGACAAGGCCTTTCATTTATAAGAAAGGAACGAAAAAATTATGAAAGAATAAACATGAATGTGGTTTAATATTTTTAATTTCTGCCACTGCGCCAACCGCACTGTGTTTGGCGCAATGCGTGAAGTATCTCTACAGTCTTGTAGGCGCTATGCGCTTCACGCGCCGCGCCGCGCGCCGATCGCTGCTGACCGTGCTACGTTTGAAGCAATGCGTGAAGTATTCGTGGAGTCTTGTAGGCGCTAATATGTGTTCCATGCTGACCGGCGCTTCGAGGGCTTCTCCTTTCCATCTCAAGTCCTCGTCATCATTGCTCCCGCGCCGCTCCGGGCCAAATTGCGTGTTTGGATTCTCTCTCAACTTCTGTCTCTTGTATCACCGAAAGACGAACAAATTAGAAATTACTGTACTTTAACTTTCAGGAAATGAGAGCTTTTTCGCATTTTCTCGTTTGTAATTTGTATTCTGAATCAGATTTTTTTCTTGATACCAACACTTGAAAAAATTACAGCATTTTTGCCACCCCTCTAAATTTGCCGCCATGGGCCGCGGCCAAGGTGGCCACCCCCTTAATCCGGCCCTGATAAAGAGCTTAGGCCACTCAAGCTCGCTCGCTCGCTCGCTCGCTCGCTCACTCACCCACTCATTATTTTATTAATTTTTATTTCTCCTTTACCCAAAAATCGATGGGTTCGGAGGACAAGGCGCACAAAAACAGTTTTTGAACGAATGTAGATATTCATGAACTCGACCAAAACTAGTTTGAAAGTATGCTCTGTGAAAAATTCACAACTAAAATCCAATTTTACAGCATCAAGAAGTGAGTTTAAACTTCCTTTCTGTCACAAAGCTTCGTGTAATTTTGAAACTTTAAACACGCATTTCGTTAGAAACATCAAAAATTGCACTAATGCACCCTGTCCTCCAAGCCCCTCAATATAGGTCCAAACCGTGTTCGTCGATCGGCTCGGGTTTAAAAATTTTCCTTTACAAATGGTCGAGGGAGAACTACCATCCACTAACATCCACAGATTTGCATTTCCAGTAGCGAATCTAGAGACCATCAATTCATTTTTGCCGTTTTCCTTACCCAGAAAACAAAAAAGGTCTCCTACAAATTAGATGCTCATTTTCTAAAATAGATTTTTTTTCTCTTTTTTTTGGGGGGGGGGGGAGACTTCATCCCCTTCTGATAAGGGATTGGAACCATCCTAGATCCCGTAGGTACTACTTCACGGCGCGGTGCAAGGCGCCCTCAGATTGTTACGAATCACCAGATCCACTTCAAGTTCCTTCATTTCATCGGATATGCAACTTGATCTCCGGGGAGTTAAAATAGTTGCCTGGTGGTAAGGTGAACATTCAGTAACTAGATGATTAGTTACTTTTCTTAATGCACAACTTGAGCGTTTTGCCCGCGATGGCACTTGTTCAAAGCTGTCCGACAACAATGGGTGAAACAGGGAGGAAAACACCCCAAATCCCAAATTTGTCAAAAATACTCTGTAAAACCAAGATTTGCCGTTTAAATAATACGAACCACTTTTTTGCCCAACGGGAAATTGGAAATTTGCAAACACCGCAATCGAGATCCGTGCTGCCATGCAAAGGAAGAACGCCGTATGAACTTCCAGGCGTTGCCGAATTTCCTCTGATAAAATACGAATTTATTGGAGTGATTGAAAAACAATTTTCTTCTGACTTTTCAAACTATTTTGTTCGCAATTTATTCTACAATATCTGAAAATTTTAAGGAAAAATATACAAAAATTTCGTCAAAAATACATGTTTTATCGAGGTAAATTTGGCAACTCTTGAATGTTCATACGACGTTTTTCCTTAGCACAGCAGCGTGGTCCATCATCGATATCGATGGCCAAAATGTGAAACCACGCATTTTAGTTCGCGATGTTGCAGCCTTCCTGTCATTCTTCATGTTTTCTGTGGCATTCTGGTCAACGTAATTTTTTGAAGGGTACCTAAATTTTTTTTTTTTTGTTTAAGCAGAATATTTTGTAAAAATGTCACGCTAGTACGTTGGCTTGTTCCTCTGATCGAAAGAATAAAAGAGGAGTGGAAATTTTGTAACATCGCGGTGGAGGCACGAGGTTTAGCACTTCGGCCATCGAATGTTTTGTTTTCAAAGGCCGACTTGATCTTAATTGTCCCCCCCCCCCTCCTCCGCGGAGCATGCGAAGTTTTAAATCACTAATCTTAGTCTGAATTACCATTTTTTTGCCAGAATGACGTAGATCTTCTAAGTTTTTTAAGCTCATTGTAAGTTTTGATTCAGTCCATTTTCCGCAACTCTTTGATTTTTTCTTGTGCTTCGTTTTTTCGAAAAACGCGATTGTAGTATTTAAAGACTTTGAAGAGCTGAATCTTAGCGCAGTAATACTGATCAGGAAACAATCTCAGGATTGCAGATTATTTTTCTGTTCATTATTAATGTTCGTTCATTCATAATATATTTTATATATTTCCCCATTTAATTTTATCTTAATATTATTTTTATTTTTTTTTTGGCGATCTGTATGTGATTTCACGTTTCTCGTGACATTTTACGAGCAAAATCAAATTAATCATAACACAGCAATTAAAAAGTTCGTTTTTGATTCAGATGCGAAAGGTCGCTGTAGGAATGGATGGGAACAAGGGAGCAAAATGTAGGGGAAGGAGCAGAGGGTAGGGAGGTGAGAGACGACACGGTGGTGGAAATATTGTGGCGAGGGGGAGAGGGGGGAATCAAGAGAAAGAGAAATGAGAGGCATCGCGGCGCGAAGCGTGGAGGGGAATCACAATCAGCGAGAGGGGCAAGCACGAGGAACAACCCCCACCCTTACGGTGCCGCTCTTCGTCGAGTAAGGTCGCCTGACCTCTAACGTAAAACTTGGGAACTAACGGCAAACTCGCTCACAGCAAGCGAATGGGAAATATGCGAATGTATTGCTCGTATTCGGAGTTCGTGAAGACCCTCAGTGCAGGCGAGATCATGCGGACGGTTTAATAACGTGATTGTGTTTATTTGTGTGTGTGGAATAAAAGGTGAAGTGAGACATTAGGTAAATATCTCTTCTGAATTTCATCTCGTTTTTACTTCATTCGTTTGGATACTTGTGCTTTTTCCCTGAGAAATATTTTTTGTCGCTGTGATTCACGAGTTTAATACTTCGTCACATCGCGATGCTTTGTTGATTTCGTACGCGGTTGATTTTAATTCACTCTCCGGTGAGTAATCGTGTCCTTTGCGTCTTTCACAAATCATTTTTTCGTATCGTTAGTCTGTGGTTTGATGCAGTCGTTACAAGTTCATGATGTAACGAATTTTGGAATGCTCTACATTGTTTTGTTTACATTCGTGATTAGTCCTGATGTCCTCTGAGAATTCGTTCAAAGTCATATTCGATGCTGCATTTAGATGCACTGGAGTGATTGCTGTTCAATTCGTTCAAATCGTGTTCCTCTGGATGAGCGGGAAGCTTTGTTTTGACAATTAATTTTAGCGCGTTCGTACGAAAGCGAAAGTTACTCCACGCAAGACGTGACTCATCTCATACACGACGCGACGGAGTCCCCCGAGCGGGTCGATTTTACGACGACTCGTAGAGCACAACTTTGTGTTTGTGAATGGGAGTAGTGATTTGAAAACGCGTAGCATTGTATCGTTTTGTTTTTCCATATCTTTCGTACTTCGAATTCTTGGACAGCCTTTTTTTTACTCAATTGTAAAGTGCTTTATCTCAACTGCTGATAGGTAGCTCTTTTATCCTGAATCACGAGACATTCTATGCAGTTACCTACTTGAAAGTTAGTGATAATGAATGTTCCATGAGGAACCTGTACCTACGATTTTAGTTTTTCAATGAACCCCGGAGAGAATTTTTCATTTTAAACTAATTTGTCGGGTAATCGAGTTTTGTTTTGCCTGTATTTCACCAGGTTATGATCGGTTTGTAAATAATTTGAATATTATTTAGTTAAGAACAATATACATACTTCACTTACTCGATACATTTCTATGCATGGTTTCGGAAACAAACATTGATTTTTTTCTTTAAAAGAGGCAAACATACCATTCAATATTCCTAATCACTTTAGGGGAATATTGTTTGCAAATTGTTTTTTAGTTTCTGTTGGTGGTTTCTCCTAATTCTATCATAGGTAGAAAATGTTTAAGGGTAGGAAAAAGGGGTTGACTTGCTCATCCAAATATCAGATCAGTACCTGAGAGTCTGCAGTAGGTCGTGATTTTTATAGAATGATGGAGCCAGCTGCTCTCCGTAAAATTTCTAGAGGCACTTTAAGTATCCCAAGATAGTCCCTTCACCTGTCACTTATGTTTTATCTCTGCATGCTTAAAAAAGCTCCAGTATTGGAGGCAAATTTTTATAAAATCATAGGAAGTTTTTTTATTCCCTGGGTGGAGGGAATTGGATTCTGCATTTTTCTGATAAGTAGGTACTTAAATATTTGTTTCTTGATATATTAGACTCAAGAGTTTAGTGATCTTTGTGGAAATTGCACCGATTTGTGTTGACAAGCCCGGAAATAGTGGGAAAAAATAAGGACTCTTCTATAGATATTCATGCGACATTTTTTAGAATTATGGCTCTCACTTCAAGCAATAAACCTAAAGCTTCTTCCAGTGATTTTCCTGCTCGAATTGAGTTCTGATGTTCCCCATGCTTTTCCCCTGTTCATTGGGTAAGTCAACCCAACTTGTGTTTTCGAACCGAACATAAGTTTTTCAATTACTTAACATTGACTGTTATTTCTGTTTGTTTCAGTTGCTGTTATCAGTCACCTGAGTCAAAATTGGGATTTTTAAGACAATAGATTCGCTCATGTTCACCACAAATGAAAAGTGATCATCAAAACTGCTCAATAATGGGAACGTGATGCCACTATGGCCTCGCCATGAGTGAGGGTGGCGGTGAGGCTATGGGTCCCTCCTTTGCAGGAGGGTACCCACCCTCTCAAACCCCTACTCCCTCCTCAACTGTTCCGGACACTGGTGCAGATAATTCCAAGTCTTCGTCTTCCGCTGGTCTTCCACCTTTCAGCTCATTCTCATCCGAAATGTCCAACGAAGGACTAGGCTCGCGCCTGGGGCCTGAAGGTTTCGGAACAGAGCCCTTCGCCACTGGGCGATTGATAACAGATATCTCTGGATGGGGATACTATGAAGAAGGTTTGACAGGCCGACTGTTAGACAGAGGTGACGGATTCCCTATGTTAATTCCTCAGCCACAATACCGTCCATGGGAGAGTAAACCACTAGATTCTACCTCTCAGGACAGTTTAATCAAGCCTGCGGACTATCCCTTATCTCCTGCAACAATTGCCAACAAATTGCCATCATTCCAATCTCAATTTAATTCAATTCCAGAGCAAAATGGAGAACCGGTTTCTCTGACAACGCTCACTCCTGCTCCTCCTTCCCCTTGCAATTCCTCTACTGGTTTACCCAGCTTCCATACACTTTCTGCTGTCCCAAGAGGGTACCCACTGGTGCCGGCACCAGTTCAAGCAAGGGAAGTTCCAGCCATTCAGCAACAGTTTCTGGATGAAAGACACATTCATTTGTTCCAAACCCCTCCGACGCAGTATCATTTTGCTCAACCTCAACAAACTACTCTCCTTACTGTTGTCAAAACTGAGCCCGTTGCTCTTGTAACTTCACAAGGTGTGTACCAAAATGCCATGACAGTGTTAGATCACGATCAAATCAAAATGGAAGAAAGTCTTTCACCGCGAGGTCTTCATGAAAGAAAGAAGGAAAGACGAAAAATACGTGCCTCATCTCTAGAAAGCTCAATAGAAAGTGACGGAATTGGTAGTTCAAGTGTCGAAAGTTCGGGTCAAGTAGCTGCTGTTTCGAGTACAGCCGGTTTCAAATCGCCCATGATGCAGCACCAAAACATGGGATCCATGAGTGGCGGACCTGGTCTTTGCCATGATGTTGAAGATTGTGAAAATGGCAGCAATGAAAAGCAAACCAAGAAAAAACGCAAGCGCTGTGGTGAATGCATTGGTTGTCAAAGGAAGGAAAATTGTGGCGACTGTGCTCCGTGTCGGAATGATAAAAGTCATCAAATATGCAAGATGCGAAGGTGCGAGAAACTCACAGAGAAGAAGGTAAATCAATTTTCATTTCTCTTATTATTAGTTAATGTTTTGCAATTTTAATCTTACCCATTTTGAAATTCAGTTGTTCCATCATTTTCTCTCCTTTTCATAACTCTTCCAAGGACTGCATTTTTGGTAAAAATCACTGGCAAGGCAATATGCAATTTGTTCATATAACCCAGGAAGGAGGACAGACCCTTTATAAAACCAGGTCACACAGTAAATCTCAAAGTCCCCATCTCATGGTAGGGATTCAGGGTTCAAGGTCAATCAGTAACAATTTAATAATTCAGGTGCAAGGGGTTTGATCTTTTAGTCTAAGGTCTTATTTTCCAGGTTAAGTTAAGTAGTCTATTTTGCCCTGCTATTTAATAATGCATGAAAAATTATAGGTAGCTTCCCCAAGAATAATTGATATTCTTCTGATCATGGTCTCTGTAGATTCTCAAAGCACACATAGGTATATCTATTTTTTTATTTATTTATTTATTTTTTTTTTTCATCATTACTTACTTACCGCGTGATTCTTATTCCTGACAATGGCCCAATATCTCCTCATGATTGGCACAAAGGGATTAATTGCTGGACGTTTTTACGAAAGAGAGGGGGAGGGGGGATAGAGGTAAAACAGCAGCAACTAAATTAACTTTTCCTTGAATGTTTTTCTATTCAAGATTTGTTAAAAACGAAATAATCAATTCTGCCAGCAACCCCCCCCCCTCCTCGCCAGGTGAATGTTAAATTTCACAAGAAAGAACTCATAAATGAAGAGGCCATTTTTATAACCCCCGGCCCGTTATTACTTGCTGAAATAAAAATTATACGATCAAAATTCTTCGCTCGAGGGGAAAAAAATTATCATGAATTTTTGTCGTTTGTCAAACGGCCACAGTTGGGCGAAACAGAAATGACGAGATTAATGAATGCATGCGTCCACCAATTTTCCACGTGAGTGTCAATTTGATTTCTGACCCCACCTCGTGCTCTTTTTGCCTCCGCAAAGTAATTCGCACTCGAGTACTTTCGCGAATTTCATTTCACGTTTCATTTCGATTAATGACGCTATTCTGTCAGGAGAATAAAGGAAAAAGGCCGGAGGATCGATCCAGGGTTTTCCGCGAACAGTCGGTCAGCTCCCGCGTTCGGGTGAACTTTTCACGCAATCTCGTGATTAATTCCAGAACAATTCCATTCAGAAGAGAGTTCTCAGTAGAGTGTGCTACGCGGTAAAGTTTCCTCCACCGGTAATGTCGCTGTATCAACCGGATGTGAGTAGACTCATCTCATGAACGGTTGAATGGCGAATCCAAAATTAGGTTCCGTCATTTCCTCAAGGCAGATCTAAAGTTCCGAAAAGAGCAAAAATAAGTGAGCGAGAGAATGAAGCATTTCAAGGACTTCTTCAGCAAAAACGATTACATTTTCGAGGGTGTAATGAAATCTGAATTCTGATTGGTCGCGGAGAGTTCATTTTTAGCGAAGTAAACCTCAATCAGTGGCGAGGCGTGAATGATCGATTATCGATACTTCCCCCCGTTTGAAACTATGGTAAAGAATCGATTCTTCTCCAATCGATTTATCGCGAAGCTCGCCACGCCACTGACTTCAATAATTCATCAACTCCGCGAGGGGTTTTGAGCAATATGAGGGTCCGAAAAACAATCATTTAGAAAGCTTGGTACTTCGGCATAAAAAAAAAACCCTCGATTAAAAAGTTTACTCAGACCGTGACTTCGGCGAGAAGCCCAAGAGATAGAGAAAGACAACGTTTTACGCGGCTGTTTCACCTCCGGGGATCAAGGTTAAAGGTCACTATTTTTTCCTTTTCTTCGAAACCTTCGCAACTTTCGTGACGGCAAGCCACGTATGTGCGTGGACCTTCCGGGAAAGCAATGGGATTGCTCATGAATTATTATCGTGCCTGCGTTTCATGCAAACAAATGTATTAATCGAGAACTTTACTCCGGCTAAGGCAAAAAGTCAGAAATAGGTTGAATATGAATTTAAACGTTTGTTACTTATTTTCAAAACATGAAAACACACATTAACTTATCACTTCAGCATAGTGCTGCTTTACGTTGGAGGGGTTATGTATTTCCTCATTCGTGGCACTACTCCTCCCCCATCGGGACGTTAGTCTATGAAAGCTCGAATTCGAGTCATTCATGACAAAGCATAAGGGAGTATTCTACGAAAGTTTTGGGACCAAAAACGCGGCCCATTTTCGATTAGTTAGAATGTAGGGTAGGCGCCAGGTGCCAGGTGTGCCAGGTGACAATTTTTCATCCGCAAGTTCAACCGAAATTCGTCACTTTAAGGGGCAACAGGGTTGTCGAAGAGGGCGTCACGTATTCTTTTCAAGGGGTGTATACCTGTGTCAAGGGGGAGGGGGTGTATAAAAAATTTCAGCGTCAAGTGATATGTAAACGGCTCCTCGCGTTACTTTGTCTAAAAAACCAAGATTTATGTGATTTTTTCATATCGATGGCTGCAATGAGAAACGACGTATCTACATTGCGGCGTTCCAAAATGTCCGTTCCCAATTTCTTTTTCCGACGAGAAACAAACAATTTTATAATTTGAAATTTTCTGCTTACCGAGAAGGAAAATGAAAGACGTTTTTAAGAAATTACGTTGACTAGCTTTCAGAAGATAAAATAAAGCATGACAGGAAGTCTGCAACGTCGCAAACGGAGATACGTGATTTCGCCTCCTGGCCATCGATATTTTCTTTCGACAGCTTATGAAGATTTACGAAATTATATCGGAAGTTTCCATTGTGCTTAACATCTCTCGCGCAAAATCCCGTTGAGGGAAAGAAACCCGTCTCACGAAGCTTCGACGCTCACCCTGTCTAGTACTTGCTCAGAAAAAACGCCGTATGACCTTCAGACGTTGCCAAATTTCCCTCGACCAGTCAGGAATTTTTTTTGAACCTTTGTGAATTTTTTTCTTCCAATTTTCCAGTGAATTTTGTTCGTAATTTTTTTAAAAACTTGAAAGTATCTGAAAATTTTTAGGGGAAATACCTATTCTAAACTTTCCTCTCAAAGTATTGCATTATGATAAGGGATTAGGCAACATTCAAATGTGCATACGGCGTCTTTCCTTGGCGGAGCAGACTGCTTAGTCTAGTCAGTCGGAAAAATCCAATCCTCGCCCCCGAGACGCGAAAGACGCGAGATCAGTGCGGCGAGGCGTGAATGATCGATTTTCCCCCACTTGAAGCTATGTTAAAGAATCGATTATCAAGGTGTTCACAGCGAACACCCTGTTAATCGATTCTTTTCCATAGGTTTAAATGGCAAATCAATCGACATCCAGCAAAGCACGCCACGGCGTGAATGATCGGATATCGATTTTCCCCCACTTGAACCTATGTCAAAGAATCGATTACCAAGGTGTTCGTAGCGAACACCCTGTTAATCGATCCTTTTCCATAGGTTTTAACGGCAGATCAATCGATAAATCCTAAAGCTCGGCAGGGAGATCCCGCCGCGGCCAACCAACAAGAGCCAAGAGCGCGGAGGAATCGGGGGTTGAGGAGGGGCGGCGGGGTTCCGGGGGACGGGGGANGGTTTGCCGGTGAGCATCGTCAACATCCATTCTCAATCGCGCAGAGAGGACATCTGCTCATTTCGCCGTTCCTTCTCGTCTGCCTTTTCCTAGTTCTCGTTCTTGATGCGTCCCATTTTTCGGTTCAGCTATGACGAATGTCCCGTCGCGTCGTCGCGGAGGCTGCAACATCCTGTGCTCGATCCGTTTTCGGTGTCGCAGGGATGCTGCGCTGCCGTGCTGAGGAAGAACGCCGTATGAACATTCGGGAGTTGCCAAATTTCTTTCGATAAAAAGTTTATTTTTGAGGAAAGTTATGGATATTTTCCCTTGAAATTTTCAGGGACTTTGGCTGAAATTGCGAACAAAATTTTCTGAAATAATGGAAGAAAAATATTCCTAAGTTTACCAGGAAATCTGTGTTTTATCAAAGGAAATTTGGCAACGCCTGAAGGTTCATACGGCGTGCTTCTTTGGCACGGCAGTGCGAGCCTCCGATGCAATGCTTACGCGTTGTTTCCTTTATAAGCTATGAAAATTCAGCCTCCGTTGGTTGTAGAAACGACGGATGGGCTTTGTTATGCTACATGGGTTTGTCGTTTCTTGAACGGAGAAACGTACGAGTGGCAATTTTGCAACTTTTCTACTCTCTAACTGTATTTTTCTGAGAGAACTTTGGGGCATTTCTAACTGATTCACTGATTCCAAGCTGATTTTGTCCTCAATTTCATGCGAATATCAGTGAAATTAAGGATAGCAATTTTGTTAAAATTAAGCCTCCGTTGATTGTAGAAACGACAGATGAGCTTTGCCATGTTACGCGGGTTTGCCGTTTCCTGAACGAAGGAACGTGCGAGTGGCAAAGTACAATTTGGCATCTTTTCTACTCTTTAACTGTATTTTTCTGAGAGAATTTTGGGGCATTTCTAACTGATTCACTAAAATCCCGCTGATTCTTTCCTTGATTACACGCGATTATCAGTAAAATTAAGGATAGGAATTGCACAATCATTTGCTTGTGAAAAATTGAAGTGTACGAGTCGATTTTTTACAATCGCGCACATGCCACGATATCGAGGTAAAAATTGCGTACTTTTTTAAGTTTTCGCAGAATTGCCGGCAAAAATGAGTATTTGCGCGGTGTTGAGATGAAAAATGCGTAATTTCTCACTTTTTTACAAAACCCCCGGAAAATCGCGCTTTTGCAGCACTACTGAGGTGGAAATCGCGTATGATTTCTCATGTTTTCACTAAACCACTGGATAAAGCACGCATTTTTAGAATTTTCACGGAAATTTGCGTAAAAATGATCTATGAATCAAAACTGGTCAAAGCGGACACCAAGCGTGCAACTATTTGAACTCCGGAGTAGTGACGTGGTATTTCGTGGAAATAAAGGAAAATCTTAGCTCTTTGCCTCGAGTTGCGCAAAATTACTGACGTTTAATTGTAGG